AATTATTTTTTTTTTAACACAAAACTGATTAATCCATCCATCCATTATTTTTTACCCGCTTCTTCCATTTTGGGTCACAGGGGTCGCCGGTGCCCATATCCAACTATCACTGTGCGAGGGGCGAGGTACACCCTGGACAGGTCTCCAGTTCATCACAGGGCCACATAGAGACAAATGAACAAACAACCATTCACTCTCTCACTCACACCTAGAGACAATTTAGAGTTACCAATCAGCCTAACATGCATGTTTTTGGTGTGTGGGAGGAAACCGGAGTACCCGGAGAAAACCCACGCATGCACGGAGAGAACATGTAACCTCCACCCAGAAAGGCCCCCTGGTCGGGATTTGATACGGTGACTTCACTGAGAGGCGGCAGCTCTACCAACTAAACCACTGTGTCGCCACAATGTTGACATGTTCAGTAGAATACCGTAATTTAATTGAATTCGAGATAAATCTCATATGAATAAAAATATGACCTAAGTTTATTTTATGCGTATAGACTGAATTTAACAATGACCCAAAACATTGAAGCAGAACACAGAACTGATTTTATATTTCAGGAAACAACAAATATGTTCACATTTCACAAGCTAGTAGCAGTGCTGAAAACCTAACAGAAATACAGCATTTAACAAGACAGTTAAATGATTTTTTGTAATGAAAAACATTTTGGGCATCGCTGCTTTCTTGCTGTTTTGGTATAAAGTCGTCAAAATGTGTCTTGACACACTTAATGTGAATAAACTGAGTGTGTGAAGGAGATGTGTGTTGTCCTTTACGGTAGGTTTTGAGTCATATTAGGAACAAGTAGTCTTGTGTTTATCCCGCCAACACCCCCTGCATCTCCCCCTCCCCCTGGATCTCAGATATGTTGTTCAGCTGACAATAATACAAGAGTCTCTTTTCCTCTTGAACAATACTGCCACGCCTGCAAAATACCCTCAACACACACACACACACTCACTATCTGTCTGCCCTCATTCCGCTTCTAAGATTCACTGTGTCCTGTTAGAAAGAAATATTTGCACATATCAAACACCATTTTTTAAATCCCAAACTGAAGACTTTGCTCTGCGATAATGTAATCTGAATGTAATTTGCCTCTTTTGTGTATGTGTGTGTGTGTGTGTGTGTGTGTGTGTGTGTGTGTGTGTGTGTGTGTGTGTGTGTGTGTGTGTGTGTGTGTGTGTGAGAGAGAGGGGGGGGGGGATGATGGAGACTGAGAAGTCGAGCGAGGAGGAGGGACTGTCACTAGAGCTGCTCACGTGCATCACCCTTGACACTGCAGAGCGTTTACAGAGACGACTAGAAGGGAGGCTGGAGACTGTCCAAATCGAGTCCATCATGAGAAGGAGCACATCGTGGGGCTGCAACGCTGCTGTGATGAACTGTGGAAGAGGAGAGCATCTGGGATAAACCTTAACCAAACACTGCTGTTGCCATGGGGGGCTCTCTCAGCCAAAGCAGGAAAGGATCAGTTAGCTCTCCTCGGAAGAAGAGCAGCATGTGAGACCATGTTTCGCCCTTGTTTACATGTTTGTATGTCTTGACTTCGAGAGCTCGGTGGCTTTGATTTACAGGAAACAAGAAATGGAAGCTAAGGAGAGGGGTAGTTCATGGACTTTACCTACTTGACTGAAGCTTATGGCTCCGGCTCAAGTTGATAGTTCATCATAACACACTGTTCTCAGCCTCTGCTGCTAGTTTGAATACAGCCCATGTATTCAAATATAAGAGAGGAAAGGGCAAGACAAAGGAGTTGTACAGCTGAGGACTTTAAAAGAGCATTGTTATAAGGAAGAGCTTATGAACATTTTGCTTTAAAAAGAGTGGCCTAACTTTCCTTTTCTTTGATGTACTGTATTGTTTGCGTGTAGCTTTTGGTGAAGAACTAATTCTGCTTTTAGATTTTAATTATGCAGCTCTGACCTTAATTCAGAATTTAAATCATACAAGCTGTGCAGTTTGTTTCTGACTGAGCAGACACCACAGTTCTGTTTTAATCATGCAGAGAGCCCATCGACAAAACACAAGGAAAAGGAACGAAGATGTTGCTATGCCAAAGCATCGATCACAGCTTAAACAACCACTCCTTCTCATTTTATTTTCCTCCGCTCCTTTGTCGAGGAAAGTAGTTTTCATTTGACTTCACAGTAATGATGTTTATTAAAGTTCCCAAAAGCCCTGTGTAAATTACTTTTTGTCTATGCACATGAATGTGGTGGGCATGTAATTATAGCTGCCAGTCAAAATGAACCCCCCCAAAAAACATAGTTATCATTCTGAGGCTAATAACTTTTGAAGATGACATTAAAATCTTTGACGCAGAACAAAAACATGCAGGCTTTAAATATCTAAGCTCAGACAATGAAACATATAAAGCTATATTCAAGCAATCTATGTTGATAGTGCGGTATTTTAAAAGGATCTTTATCTGTGTTTGTGTTAGGTCTGGTGGGGGTCCTTGTGGGAAAACTGTAACCAATCGGGGCTGTGAGATTTCTTCTTTAGCTTATGGGCTAAATTTAGTTGCCTTAGTCATCCATTTTTAAATTTTAACTGGAGCAGTCTTGGATGTGCAGCTCTCCAAAAGCCCTGAACATTCACACAGTCACCCAGCTGGAAGCAGACTGACCTGCATTTGGAGAACAATACTCTGTAGAGGCCTGTGGCTGCTGACGTACTGTCCTTTTCTCTGGAGAGACATATGAATACATAAAGACTACATATATTAGTGAACATTTTATTAGTGCACATGCCTTCACTGAAAAGGCTTTAGAACATTAAAGTGAAACTCAAAGCTGAATGATTGATGGCTGGGATGTAGCATTTTCATCTTATGCTGGTGCAAATACATCTTTATAATAAAAAAAGTCTAAAAAAGTTAAATCTGGTCCTCTGGACATTCAAAAAAAAACAAAGCAAAACAACAAAAAAAATGTAGAAACGCTTCGTCTCTCATCCGAGAGACTTCCTCAGTCTGAGGTGCTGTATTCAGCTCAGTCTCTTAAATAGCACCTTCTCAGAGTGGATCAACCATTTTTTTGAATGTCCAGAGGACCAGATTAAACTTTTTTAGATTTTTCTACCTGGATTATTGAGCATGCATCAGAATATAAAAAAGTATTTCAGCTGCTCGCTTCTTCAGGGGTCACCATAGAGAGCAAAGGTGCACAAAAGATTTGGCAATTATTTTACGCCGGATGCTATTCCTGATGCAACCTGGGCTCAAACCCACAACCTCAGGATTACAAGGCCCCAGCGCCGAGCTACTGCAGCCACCAAATACATCTTTAATTAAGAAGCATACTAAAATAGCATGCTTTGTTGTTTTCAGCCAGTTTGACACGACTGTCAACAAGGAAGAGGGTTAGCAATGAAGGAGGGGGCGTACCAAAGAGACCATCTTATCACAAGCAGAACTGGTTTGTTCCACTTTGGAGTAAGCTGTTTGGGGGAAGAATCAGTTTTGTGTTGTGTGTTTCCTTGACTGATGAAGCCTTCTGGATCAAAGGTGAAACATTTCAGCACAAAAAAAAAAGAAACTGTCCAGATGACCTGACTGAAAAATGTTGGATTATATACCTGGATCATTGAGCATGGACTTTGTTGTTTCATACTAAAAAAGAACATTTAAGACCGACTGGAGCTCTAAACTAGGTGGAAATAAAAAGCAGACATGACAAAGTAGATGAGTAATAGGTGTGTCGTCTGTGTGTATGATTTGTACAATGACCCTGTTGTGTTTATGAACAATAGCTCTGCTGGTGTCTGTGTACGGCTCCTCAGGGGTTAAACCGTCCTAGTGCCTCATTCTTTCTCTTGTACGGTAGTTTCTCTATTCAGCTTACACTCCGCTGTTCTGTAGCACTGCGAAGGCTACAAGGAGTCTAACTCTGAACACGTTTCTACTCTGCTTGCAGATAACTGAATGTGCTCTGTAAAAATGAGACTTTAAAAGCTGCTGTAAATCCCAGGAGATATCACTGAGTCTTTCAGCATACTGAAACTGTGAGCCTGTTGTGTCTGAGTACATAATACCAAGCTGCAACCTCTTATGTAGCTATTTCTGGATGTAGTGTCTTAAATTATATTTTCATAGGTTAATACTTTCCCTTCTTCCTCTTTTTCTGCTATGGTGATGCCAGACTTCCTGTCTTAGATTAAGCTCCCAAAAGTGACATTAGACTTATAAAGCACACATTTCTCCCACAGACTTCTATTTTGGGGGCTCTTTCATCTCAGTAAACTGATGGCTGTATCTAAAAACTGCTGTCTCTGCTGATCTATTATTTTGTTCAGAAGAGGGGTGCAAGTCCAATATTAACCACCAGGTAGAGCCACATCTTTCATTTGATTCAACTCTTTAGAATCCCCACGTCCTGGATGACAAGCCAATGAAAATATAAAATTGTTTTAAAGAAGAAGAAAAAATATATATATATTTTAAGAGTTATCAGTTTTAACCATGTCACAGTTTCTTTGTGTTTGTGTTGTGACCTTGTTTATAGAGTCTTTTCAGTTTATCAGCTAATCTTAGTTATCTGTTTTTCTGTTTTACAAAAGTAGAACTGACTAATCCCGGATGAGAGGAGGAAGCTGGACTTGTCCATGCCTTGTTAGAGCATTTTGTCTTAATTGGCATCACAAACACCGAGCCAGGCTGAAAAGGAGCAGCTAAGTCAAACCAAGCTGAAGTAATCCTCCTTAGTGCCCACCCAACACTCGCTTCAAAAGCCCATGAGATCCATGACTGATTAACTGGTGCTCATGTAGAACAATTTCACCTTTTCTTTTAGCTCAGGTAAAACAACCCCCTGTTCAGCCTGGGAATTTTAATTTCTTGTTTTCTCCATGCTCAGTTTTCTCCTCAGCTCCCCTGTTTGACCCATCACACACATGCACACACACCTGTCATTCATGTGTAATCTCAGCTGCTCTGACTCAGTAATCAACTCTCCTTGGATATATTGTCCTCACGTTACCCGTTCATTGTTAGATCCTTGTGTACGTAAGTCTCTTGTTCATTTTTTGTTTGCTGCACTTCTGGTTTTGTTTGTGTTTACTAACTATTTTTGCCATTTACTGATAAGCTACCCAACTGCCTGCCTGTACTCTTGGGTCCACCTCACCATCCACCAAACTCTACAAATCTAGGATCCTCTACTAGAGAAATTCATCTTGCATTGGGGTGAAATGTAGAACATGCAAATATTTACACGTGAAATCTATATTGTAGCATGCACAGGCATCAGTTTACTCTAGTTTTGTTGGTTCAGGGGTCTTTGCCGTCAGCTCTAAACTGAACTGAGCTCTTGGCAGGTTGACTGGAGTGTCTAAACCTTGGTGTCTTGCAGTATTAAGTAGTTTTTGTGGTTCACTGACGTGTATTGTCCTGCTTAGAGGCCAAAATACAGTTGCTGGAGTTGTTCTTGCTCTGCAGAGATGCTGAATAGGATTTATAATTTACTCAAGTTTTCAGCAGGACACTGATGTGATAATCTGCAAAATGTAAGAAAAACACAAAATAATATGCAAAAGTGGTGAAGACTAACGATAAAATTCAAAGTTATATTCCAAGAAATTTATCGGGTTCTTTTGGATAAATATAACAGAAATTTTGATTCAGGATTAGAATCACTGGACATAAACGGTTGACATATTTTACTAATTCCCTCTCAGTCTGCACACTTTGAAAGTTGTTACGAGTATCAGATCTCCTCTGTTGTGGCTCTCGGACACGCCATGTCTGGTTTTATTCTTGGCTCATAACTACATGTGTTGCTTTCACTCAGGATCTAATTGGATGAATGTGCCTTCCTGTTGACTTAGCTGATTACAACCACATCAAATAGTCAGAGGCAAGTGTATTTAAAAAAAATATTTTAGGTATGTTAATCTGCTGTATTTGTGTGCCCTGCTTTATTGATAGATGTATGGATGCATGCGATTTTATTTATTTCACTACTAGCACTAAACTATTTGTGAAGTGGGCTAGATAAGTGTCCATTTTATTTTTTTTTTCTTACAATTTTGTTAATTTGGAAGTTTGTCTCTGCTGGGGGGTAAAAAAAAGTCTTACTAAAACACGTGACCTGAAGCCAGTTTAGTTTCAAGGTGTGCCACTCAGAACGGTTGGGTTTCCTTTTAAACGTTAAGTTGCATTGTTTTCAGGACAATTTTTTTATTTTTTTTCTTTTGTAGCAGTTTATTTTATTTTTTGGTTGTCATGACGGATAAGTGAACTCGAGAGAAAGAAGACAATGATAGGAATGTTAAAGACACACAAATAAAAGTCTGAGAAGTTAATCTTAACCCACAGCTAATGCATCCTTTCACTGTTGTATCCAAAATACTTTTTATCCTCCTCATACTCTAGTGTTTCCATCCCTGATTATTATTAATCTTAATTTTTGCAGATCTTTCTGTTCCACTCCCAGAGATTAAACGGCCTCTTTTCCTGTGTTCACCGATGTGAAACGTTGTTAGTGTGATGGAGCGTGCAGTCTCCTCCTGGAGCCACGTGAGGCTTTCTATCTTCAGTTTGTACATTTTGTGAGTGTGAGCATAAAAAGAGAAACTGCTTTGTTTTCGCTGTGCTCGCCTCTTCAGTGTTTGAATCCTCGTTCTCTTAAGATTTAGTCATGTTTCCTGAATTATTTTTTTTTTTTTTTTAAAGAGCCTGGATGCTCTGTGTTTGTGGAAAAAGAGTTGGGACTGTAAAAGCCTAGCCTTGGAGTTACATAATGATCAACCACAGAGGCACATGTGAGCTTTTTTCTAAATCCTTTTTATTTATTTATTTATTTTTTGTCCTGTCAGATGGGCATCATTACGGCTGAATCTGGGTTTGTTGTATTGATTTTGTTCTTGTCTGGCCTGAATGCTTTAGCGAACAATGGATCCTCAGTTTGTTTGATTTTATACCTCGTGACTTTATTGAATCATCCCAGATTAAAGAAATCATTGCTTGTTCAACCGGAGTAAAGAAGCAGACAGTAATTGCTGTTTTAAAGGAAGCTCTGTTATAATTGCCAGCTGTCTCTGGTGCCAAGTAAATAAGCTTTTAACATGTCGGATTATCTTTTAGAATGCCTTAACCAAGAGGGAAACTACTGCATGAAGACTATTGTAGATTTGTAAGAAGACAGTGCCTTAAAGTAGGAAAGTTGGCAGTAAATTAAGATTTAAACGACCACATGAAGACGTACTTTTAAGGATGCTGGATCTTTCAGCAGAATGAATTCAGTCTTTCTTGGATCACAAATATCACTGTACACCTCCACATTTCCTTCCTGTGCTCTGATTTATTTTCCATCTGCTTTCCTGGAAACAAGTTCTTGTGGACTTTCTGTCCCAGAGAAACCAAACTGTTCTTTCATCCTAAAACAGGAGCTGTCCTCCTTATTCCCACGTAACAATTATCAAACCCTGACTGTTTCTGGGACTGGGAGAAGAAAAGCAACCCAACTTGGCAAAACGCAGGCGAACAGAGCGAGCTGATGTGTGCAAACTGGCTGATCCTCCCAGACGGAGCAGTGAGGGAGGAGGGGAGCAGAGAGGAGGAGACTACTGATGCTACAGTAATCTGTGGCGTGTGAGTCAGAGCTGTGAAGAGCAAAGAGGCGACAGAAGCAGCTGCAGCACACCGAGACACGTTCCCCTCGCACAGCAGGCCAGGATGGGAAGCCGTTAGATAAGAAGAGACTGTCATACAGGAAGCCATCCAGGTGACAGCTCAACATTCCCTTTAACTTGCAGATGAAAGGCTGTTTGAAACTGTGGGAAACTCTGTAACTCATCCAGAGAACAAGGAAGTTTACCATCCTTATCTTAGAAGTGGCCTTGGACGGGCTGCAGAAATGTCCTGGTTGTCTCCGGTCCAGTGGGCCAAATGGACGTGGTCAGCAGTGACTGGAGGTTCAGGAGATGATGGGCAATCCAGAACGGAGGATGACAAAGACAAGTAAGAGACCCTGGCTTCAGATACTGTGTGTGTGTGTGTGTGTAAAAGTGAATTCAGAATCTGGTTCTGTAAACGACCAGTTCAGAAATAAAAGCTTTTTGATGCTGCTTGGACAGATGAATATAAATGGTAAATGTGGGTGTTATGGTGAAAGAAATTCCCATGAATCATTCTGACAGGTGGTAAATACTGTGTGTGTGTGTGTGTGTGTGTGTGTGTGTGTGTGTGTGTGTGTGTGTGTGTGTGTGTGTGTGTGTGTGTGTGTGTGTGTGTGTGTGTGTGTGTGTGTGTGTGTGTGTGTGTGTGTGTGTATATATTATATATTACACACGCTGATATATTCTCAAATACTTCTGGTGCAGACGATCAGATTAGCACCACCTAAAGCAAATTTAAAGTCAATGGTTATGGTCTTGTTTATGTGCTTCCCCTTTTTTTTTTTTTTTTAAAGTTGGCAAATGGAGGGTGGGTGTGTGTGAGAGGTAAGTCTGGGGCAGTTGGGAAATGATTGCTGAATCTAGAAGACAAAAAGCTACACTTTCCAAGATTTTTATTTATTTATTTAAATTTTCCTGTTTTAATTTCTAGTTTCTAAGTAACCATCCAACTGCAGCCATTGGTGCCATCAATGGGATGTGACTGGCTGGGTGGGAGAGGGGCGCTTTTTGTGTTCAGACCAGTTCAGATGGTCGTCTGTAGAGCCCCAGTGTGTGAATGTGTTACTGTGTGCTGGTTTTTTCAGAGATGGTGGGTTGGCACTGTGGACGTGTTCCTCCTTGTGCTGCTTTTCATTAGCGTGTGGACGTTTTGATGTGCTTTCAAAAGGCTGGGAACACACACACACACACACACACACACACACACACAGATGCATCTCCCCATTTATTAGTTTCCCTACTGTTTGGGAATAAACTTTGGCTGGGTATCTAGGCAGCCCAAACTGCAGGCCCAAAACTGTCATTGTGGGACACTGTTGTTCCTGAGAAGCAGAGGATGCAGGTGGCCTCGAAGGACTTTGCTTCCTCTCCTTTCCCTTCCTCTGACTTCCCTTAAAATAAAAGCAGCTCGTTTGTTTTGAGTTGTATTGTCCTGTTAATCTACCAGTAATTGTTTACACGACGTTTCAAGAAAATAAAAATTAGAAGGCCATCTTGTCTGCATTAAGAACTATTTCATCAGCAGCCTATTTTTAAAATGGCATTTCATTTATTTATTTTGTTTTTACTCTGATTGTCAACGCAACCAGTCACCCAATATTTATTTCAGAAAACTTTTTTTTTTAATTATTATTATTATTATTATTATTATTATTATTATTTTTAATGAAAGATTCTTTCAGATAATTACAACCCCCATATGTATTTTCTTAGTCCGTCTAAATGAGTAACTTTTTTTTAAATTTTTTTTATTTATTTTTTTAAATCTATATAATTTTAAGCGTAACATCAAACTTTTTTTTTTTTTTTGTTCCTCTCGTTTTCCAGTTCGGACTCCGAGGGGACCTTTGGGACTCCAGAGGCTGAGTCTCCAGGTGTTGTGGAGTTGCTGGGCCAGATGGACAACGCGAACCACAAAGGTGAGGCACTTTGGTGCTCCTTTACACAAATCACCTGATTTTAAAGTACATTTTTTACTTTGTGTTAAACACTTTATCCTGTTCGTTTTGAAGCTGTTAGCTGTTTGGTTAAAGCACAATAGTTTGCACTGTTTGGTGTGAGCAAGGGGTGGGTTTCAGGTGTGGCATCTGTCAATAGTTGGAGCTCCTAGCATACAGTGTAACTTCCATAAGTCGTTTCAAATGAGCATTGCACTGAATGGTTTTTATCTGAACTTGTTTTTTGTATTGTCCCAAGACTCCCAGCTGACTTTGACAGGTGTTTGTGCATGTTCTTATAGTAGGCATGAGGGTGTTATGAGGACTTTAAGTTAGCCAATGTGCAAATAACATGATATGCTTGGTCTGCACCAGACCATGAACTTTGCATAGGTTTCACTCTTTGTGTTGTCAGAGCATGCTGCCTTTTCAGCAATGATTTCTACAGACCAACTTAAAGAACCTGCATTAGACTGGTCCAGGTTCATCAATGCACTATCAATTAAAAAAAAAAAAAAAAAAAAAAAAGATATTATTGAAGGTTGGTGCTGATTGGGTATGACATCTGGATCAGGACTGAGTGAGATTGATAAAAGTGCAATTGTTTTAATTTTACATTAAAAGTAAATTGTTTGTAGCCTCATAACTATCCACACATTTTTTAAATCTATTAGCTATACACACCGTAGAGCAGGGCTATTCAACTAAACTGCTCAGAGGCCGGATCTCCAGTAATTAAAGTCAATGTGTCAATAAACCAAGTATTACAATGATCTGTTACCATTTTAAATTTGTTGCATTTGGTCATAAATGCAATAAACAAAACTCAAATGTAATTGAAAGAAATTGCATTTCAAGATTTATTTCCTTACAATACAAGCAGTAATATTCTAATATGAAAAACAGAAATTACACACTATGCTTCCTATTTAACACATGCTATTCTGCCCTCTCTAACTTGCTCAATCTTTATATTTAAAAAAAAATTGAACGTTTTTAATGTTCCCTGAATGACGGACATGTTGCTGTTCCAGGTGGGCCAATTAAGAACCAGTTCTCCTTTACAGTGAAATGGATGTACAGACTAGTTCCTCCTCAAATGGTTCATAAATCACAGGTGAAGCATGCACTTCCTGCTCAGGTGTGAACGTTGAGCAGAACCAAAAGAGGCGGAGCAGAACTCGGCTGGGCTGAAAGCGAGCGAGATGCATATTGAAAGTCTTCGTGTCATTTACTATAATGAATTAACACACTCAGTTCATCGTGTTTGTGGTTAACTGTTTTTTTTTTTTTTTTTTTTTTAAACGGAACTACAAATCTGCCATGCGTCATCAATACTCCCCCATTAATAAATGTGTGTTTGATCCAGCTTGTGGGCGATCACATACTGCTATGATCAGTCTATCAGAACTCCCCACATGGTGGGAGAGAGAGAGAGAGAGAGAGAGAGAGAACACGCAGCCTTTTGACTCTTGTTTCTGCTAATTTAATTCTTATTAATTAACACCAAAACATGGATATTTGTAGACCCCAAATTAAAGATGTGCGTCCCTATTTCATTTTATTTTTTTTTCCCTCCGAAGTATCTCTGAGTCCCAAAGACTGTGAGCTGCAAAGCATGCTGGGTAGCCTTGTGGAAATTATATGTGCAACATTTCTAACTGTTTACGATGTCTCTGAGTGTGGAAATGGGTGGTTGTTGTTGTTGATGTCCTGTTCAGGTTTGCCACCTGGAGGCACTAAAATCATTCGACTGGAGGATCTCTGTGCTCTGTTTGGGTTGTAAAAGTGCAAAAGACCCAGTAGATAACTGGGTGCCAAGCCATTAAAAACTTTTTAAAAGTAAAACTAATCTTAAAATCAAAATGAAAGTAAACAGGCAGACAGTGGAAAATCAGCTAAAACTGGAGTGATGTGGTCCTGCCTTCTGGTTCTGGTTAAAAGATGCGCAGCAGCGTTCAGGACTAACTGCAGGTGATGTAGAGATGATTGTTCCAAACCAACACATACAGTGTTACTTTAGTCCACGGCGCTAGTGGTGATGAAGCCATGGATAAGTTTAGAGGAATGTAAGATTTTACTTTAGCAGTTTGATGTAGCCTAACTGATAAGCACGTTTTTTGACAACTGAGGATATTTGCGGGGCAGCACGGTGGCGCAACTGGTAGAGCTGCTGCCTCTCAGCGAGCAGGTCCCTGGTTCAAACCCCGGTCCAGGGGCCTTTCTGGGTGGAGTTTGCATGTTCTCTCCGTGCATGCGTGGGTTTTCTCCGGGTACTCCGGTTTCCTCCCACAGTCCAAAAACATGCATGTTAGACTGATTGGTAACTCTAAATTGTCCCTAGGTGTGAGTGAGAGAGTGAATGGTTGTTTGTCTCGTTTGTCTCTATGTGGCCCTGTGATGGACTTGCGACCCGTCCAGGGTGTACCCCGCCCCTCGCACAGTGATTGCTGGACATGGGCACCAGCGACCCCCGTGACCCAAAATGGAATAAGCGGGTAAAGAAAATGGATGGATGGATGGATGGATATTTGCTGCTCAAGTTTAAAATAACTGTCTAAAAACACTCCCAAGATTCTTGACAGCAACAACGAGGAGCAAGAGGACTGAGAATTTCAGCACACACGTCTGGTTTCCAAATAAAACGACTTTCAGTCTTGTTTTCATTCAAGGTCAAACAGTTTTGAGATGGTCAGTCTTCAACATTCTTTAGACAGAGGCTGCAGTGGGGCAGAGACATCTCATTTACAAGTAGGAAGAAGTATTTGGACATCGTCCATGTAGCAATGAAAATAAATGTGCTTTCTAAAAACTTATCCCAAAGGCAGCAAGTATAAATGGAACAAAATGGGACCCAGAATGGACCCTTGGGGTACACCACAACAAAATGGGTGCCGAGAAAAACATTTCCCCATGGGAATGGACCTGTCGGCTAAATAAGTCCTGAACCACGTTAAAACTGAGCCTTTAAGACCAACATGTTGAAGTCTTGATAAAAGGACGCTATGAATGGCAGCGGTTAAAAGAACCAAACCAGAGCAATGCAAGTCAACCTTTGAAAAAAGAACATTAAAAACTTAAAGTGCTGTCTCAGTACTGACGGGATTTAAAACCAGACTGGAACTCTTCAAATGTCATGAGTCTAGAAAGGTTTGAAGTTTAATTAAAAGCAGCCTTTTCTAACACTGAAGGGTAATTTAGATATTGTCCTGTAGTTAAAACATTAGGATCAAGGTTTTTCTTTGATAGTCTGCTGTACTACAGTGTGTTTGAAAGCAGCTGGAACACAGCTGGATGACAGAAGAGTTTAATATATGTAAAATACAAGGCCCAGTGATATGAGGGGTTTCCTTTAGGAAGAGAGTGGAGTATATTTAGAGGAAAATTAGAAGGTCTTAAATTTAAAAACGGAACATTTTCTTGCTGATTTGGAGTGAACGTCAGGTTGACCTTTATATGAACTTGTACCTTGTCACCATAGATAAGTTGCCAGATCATCTTAGGCCAAAACAGAGACAGGAAAACACAACTGTTGCCAGGATCAAACACATGCAGCCACACAAAAAATGCAATCCTAATGGTAATGTATAATAATGAACAGATACTTTCAGTGCAGAAATATTCCTTAATGTCTAAATATTGCAAACTTCAGTAAAGTGATTACTTCATTGTTTTTGTCAGTAAAACTTGATCAGGGTAACACGAGCAAATTAAACCTTAGATCAGCATTAGGGTTGGGGTCCATCACTTGGACCATGCCTTTGAATGATAATTAGGATAAAAAGGGCTCTCTTTGGTTAGGCTTCAAAATAAAATGGCTGGTAGTCCTGCTTCTTGAAGCTGCCAAAATGCCTCGCTTGTTTTTGAGTCCCTCCTCTTCCTCTTCTTCAGCTCTCCAGCTTTCGCCCACACACACACAGGCAGCACACACTGCCATGGTAATGGCTGATTCACACTGCCAGTTTCTGTGCTAAACATATGAGTATAATTTATATTTGCAAACTTTGTTTAATTAAAATGATTTTGTCAGTATTCTGTTGTATTTGGATGAACTCTGTTTGTGTTAGATTATCTCAGCCATTTGGAATCAGACATGTTTTGACTGCAGTTTATGGTAATTTTTAACCAAACCGGGTCTACTTTGCAGACATTAAATTATTGACACGCTGAGCTAAAAATCTGTTTCATAAATAAAAGATCAGCTGTGCAGAGAAACTGATAGCGCTTCATCTATAATTAGAAGGCTCAAATGGTACAGCGTGTTTATGGGAACGGCTACATCTGAACAGTGACAAAGTTGAAGTATGAGACTGCTATGTGACAGTTTATATCGGTTTCTGTCTCATTTCCCCTCAGTCATCATTTCCTCTTTTATTCAGAGTTGTGAAACAGTAATAAACCTTTTGTTTGTGTTGCTAGGCCACGTGGTGGGGTGTACTGTGCATGACTGGGTGTGGTTCCTCTACATCTGTTCCTTGGCTCCAATGGACGTCAGTAATTTGGCAACAAGATTTTGTGCTAAAAGCTCATATATAAACTCACGGATGTGATGTAACCGTGACAAAGTAGAAAACGGTTATTGAATTCAGTGAGTTGATGAAAAATAAAGAATTGCAGATTAAATTCTTGGGTTATGGTGTGTAGATGTAGGTTTTTCATTGTGTGGTGGGGATTACTTTCAGCAGCATTGACTCAACGCAGACCAGTCTGCTGCAGTCGTCGACCAACTGGTAGCAGGATGTGTGACGACACAGGAAGTGAATTGTTCTTGGAGGAAACCAGCAACCATTTTAAAAGCTAAAACAAGGGGAGGTGGTGTTGGGACTCTAGGTGTCATGCTTTAATTAGTGGGTAAAGCTAGATAATCTGTTTAACTTAAAATAAAATTAACATTTGTTTTCCTCTAATGGCATGGATATGAAGACAGTAACATTATTTTGGCTTCAATCGGTTTCTGCTCTGTCTGCACCTGGTTAAGATCTCTGCACGCCTAACCAATACCAAAAAAAAAAAAATCACTCAAAGTAGGGGATTGTTAAGGTCTTTGTTCATCTAATTCACAGATGGGTCACTCTGGTCATATGGATGACATTCCTGATAGGTGTGCAACTGGCTGGATATCAATCCAAAAGCTACATTATAAGTTTTTGAAAGTTGAAATCTGAGGCCTCCTCTGTTTAAAGATAAGTTTCTCTTTTTGCATAAATTGCTTCCTTCCTTCACTGAGGGCTGAAGAGTTTAGATTTAAATTTGAGTGCAAAGATGCTAGCACAGGAGTTATGGATGAACAAATGAAAAGGTTGTACCATAATATTTCCACCTTTTTGATGGGTGTATAACATAAGCTCTTTTGTTCTAGGATTTTCAGATTTTAAGCTGGATTATTAAAGAATCGAGTATTTTAACCTAAAAATCAAGTTCAAGTCAGTTTATTGATGCCTAAAAAAAACGCCTCTAAATCCCTTTAACTCTACTGCACTCCAGTTTATGATTAGCTGTGTATTTATGATGCTCAATTCTGAGCAGGTTGTATAAAAAGGAAATTTTTTTGAGGGTTGAACTGCAAAATTATTTTGGATGAAGCCAATCACAAGGGTCAGCTTTACACCTTTTGTTTGCAGGTTAATCCAAACAGGTCTCTTGATATTCCAACCTTCTCACACACTCATCCATACAAAAATCAATGCAAGCTTATTTTTAACAGTTTTAGACCAAGTATGAAAAGTTGCAGTTTCCTGATTATCAGTCAAAACTGATAAACAAAACCTCACAAATTTACAGATGAGAAAGCTCAATCACCAGAAGGAACAGACGCTTAAAGAATAACCGAGAACGGTGCAAATATATTCCTCCGCCAACAGCATTGCTTGAATATCAAAAAAACCTCTTAAACTGTCAGTTCATGTAAAAGTTTAGTTTTCATCAATCAGAAGTAACTACAAAAATGCACAAAAAGTGGCTAAAATCAAAAAAATAAAATCAAAGCATTTGGAGGTGCGATAGAGCAATCTGCATATGTATGCGTGCATCTTATCTGTTTTTTAACTTGAACCCCACACTCCGTTTTTTCCTGTTCTTTGAACTGAGAAAGTTGGATAAGAAGCGAAACGTCTTCTGTTACATATGTTTTGCCTTGAACTTTTTTGAATTTACCATGTCCTGGATGACTGAGAATCTTCACCCGCGTTCAGCCCTCAGTCTAACTTCAACATAACACTTCATCACCCCAGCTCCAAGGTCAAGATCAAGGTCAACAGTGCTTGTCTGGGCCATTGCTCATAGGTTGCTGTGTAACGTTTGGCCGGTGTATAATGTGTTGCATGTTTTACACTTGTTTCCTTTTACACTGCCACAAGTGCTGGCTTATTATAAATATCTTCCTTTGCTACAGAAAGTTTTTTTTTTCTGAATCTAAAATTCACTTTGTGGAGGAAAAACCAGTCTTTGTTTTCTGCACTGCTCTTTTCATCTTTTATCCTTTCAACAAATCACTTGAGTGGGCCAAAATGATGCTACTAAGAGATCAACCAACTCATCCAGACAGCTTTTGTGACTCAATTTCATATTTAATCACAAAAAAATATGAGAAATTCTCTATTTTAGAATCCTGTTGTCACTTTTCTAAGCTTCTGATTCATCGTGCTGCAGTCATGTGACACATCTAGGTTTGTAATGTTCTCCGACACCTGATAAATACACCTAGACTGATTTTTTTTTAAATGTTTAAAACTGTTCATAATTTTCATGTGTTTTTGCTTTTTGTCAATATTTTTTCGCATTCTTTAACAATTTGCTGTCCTTTATAGTTCCTGCTGATGTTACAAACAACATCTGCAACTCCAACCAAGATGTCTCTTCTGCTCCGTCCAAAGAGGTCGACTCCTTGAACAACCTCACCAGCTCCTCACTCAACAATGGCCCCTTCAGTTTGGATCAAAACCTCAACGTGACCCTGAGTCCCAAAGCTGGTCATGAAGACCTGTTCCCATTCAGTCCTCAGATTCTAGCTGTCAGGCCCCCGTCGCTTCCTGTCCGTTCTCCCCTGAACAGACCTGATCCCACAGAAGTGGACGACGAGGCCGCGGTGACGTCCGACTCCAGTACCGACTCTAACTTGACCATTAGTCATGACGTTTGTGTGGACTCAGATTTACTGAATGGCAACACGAGCTCAGACGCTGCGCTGTCAAACACAAAACTGGCCTGTGAGAAAAGCAACTCGGTCGTCACGTAAGTAAGAAATTATACACCCTCACATGCACACATGCAAAGGCCAGTCTCAATACAACCATGGGATATTTGTATAAAAACACACTTCCCTGTTAGTCCAGCTGTAATGAATGTAAATGCGCAAAGAAACTCAAATGTTTTTGTAATTTTTTAATTTTTTTTATTTTAGCCATCAGTGTTTGTGTGTTGTGCGTCTTTAAAAAAGGCCCATTAGCTGATCTCTTCCTGTATGTGCAACCATGACTCACCATTTCCAGTTCGGCTTCATGGTTGGGAAGGTTTTGTTGAATTGGATTAATTTTGGTTCATAAAAACAAATCTGTAAATGTAAGATTTCTGTCTTCATACACAAATTATGTAATGGCGCTTTAACACCTGGTTTATTTTTGGCCAGGGGCCTTTTCTTGCTTGGCAGGAGGATTGTTCAGGTGTGAAGCGGCGCCCTCTTGTGATTTTATTTATGAACTTGTTTTCTCTCCTGTGAGTGTTTAAATGCAATTTTTTTTCATGCAATATGTCACATTTGTTAGTGATAAATAATTTTAGTGTTGCAACTTACAGCTACTTTACTTTAAGACACAAAAGCCAATAGACAGCTGCTTCTTACCATTTTAAATGTGCATGGAAAACTCAAATCAGCCAGAAGATCATTGATGGGATATTTCAGTCTCGTATGAATAAAACTGAAGCCTGCCATTATCTTCAGGCTCAGATTAGATTTATTTGTCATGTGCAAAATCAACACAAGGTCAACAATGTAATGAAATGCTGAGGACGAGAAGAACTGTCGCCCAAAAACGGAAAACGACAACAAGAAATATCAAATCATGCAGCAAAAATACTAAAAACATACAAAAAACTACTAGTATTCTAAGAAAAACATATTAAAACATACTACTAACATACTAAAAAAAGCATTTTATGACTGTCAGATTTCTTAGATGAGTTCAGTATGTTGTTTGTGTCCTTGTTTCACAGGTGATCTCGCAGCTTTCTGTTTGTTTCCTGCACTACATGAAGTCTGCTCTCACCTTGTGTTTATCCTAACCCCTGTCACGTTTAGTGATCTTTCCTTCCTTTTCTCTGCTCAACATGTCACTCTGTCCCTTCTGTGTGTGTGGCACCAGGACTGCTGAGCAGGTCCATTTCCTTTGTGTTTTGTTGTAAGTACAGCTGAACTGTGCGCTTTGCAACTGCAGCTCTATTTTTAAACGCATTCACTTCACAAAAGGTTGCTTTCAGTCTGAAAATGAAGGTGAAGAAAAGGTGTGAGGAATATTTATGTGAAGTGAAGGAGTGGAAACTCCATAACCCTCCCCAAGGCTCTGTAAATTTCATACACTTTTTTTAATCTGCTTTCTCTTCTGCACAATTTAGCCCAGCATGGTTGAGCTCAGCACACACCAAGTAAAGCTATGTGGTTTTGGCTGGCAGGCTTTTTAAAGCTTGTTTTAATTGCTATTATTGCAACGGTTCACACACAGAGTTGTTGTTGTCTCCTCAGAAACTCCTGTAAAGTAAAGCCAAACCAGCAGATTCAAAAGGATTTAAGCAAGCAGGTAAGCATGGACTTTCTGCTCTTCAGTGTTTGCATAATATCTGACTCGTGGGAAAGCTTTAGCTGTATACCTACAAATAACTCTGAGGTGATAAGGACTGCTGTCGTTCAAGGATGACCACCATGGAGGCCATGCCACGGATGAGGAGAAGCTGGCAAGCAATGCTGGGATCAAACCAGAAAAATCCCATAATGGTGAGTAATAGAATGAAATGGTTGATGTTTAGTAAAATGTCTCAATTCTTACTGTTGCAATAGTGAAGAGCTTAGTCGTGACTCAATGTGCTGCTGAGATATTAGCAAGCTGTTTGTTTAGTCAGCATGCATGAGCTTTCCTGTGATCAAACATTAGCAGTGATCAGTCAATACTGGGCCGTAACAAGGTCATGTCTGCCCAGTTACAAACACACAGGAAATTAACTGTGAAATACAAAGAGCGGTCTTTTAGTCAGCTGTCTGTGGGAGCAGAAATGTCTTAAACAGTTAAAACAGAAAACGCTGTCTGAGGGATTTATTTTTTCATCTCAACTGTAGTTTACTGTAAATCTAAATTTTTTTTTTTTTTTTTGTGTGTTGATTTTATAGATTTGTGCACATGGAATTTTTATTTATTTCGAGTTGCATGTAATTTATTCTAGTTGCATGCAATTTACTTGCACACGTCGATTAAAAAAATCGTTTTTGAGCAGTTAAACAATTGGATTAAAAACATCTTGCCATATCTGCACAGGAAATATGAACAGGTCACACTATATTGTTCTGATTTTAACCCTATATTGTCATGTTTTTGGATGCTTGATTAAAAAAAAAAATAATCCATAAACAGACCATCAGGGTTGTTGTTTGATGAGATGGATTGGAGTCTGGGCAGTTTATAGAAAAATCTTAGGTGTTACATTCAGTCCCTCGGGTTGTGTTTGAGCAGTTTTTGATTTATTGAATCGTTTGTCTAGAGGATTCTGCTACAAGTGTTTTCATGGAGAGATAGTAGTTTAACAGTTTAGTTCAACGTACATGTCAAAGTAATTTTCATCAAATATTAAACATTCTCCAGCAGATCATCAAGTTGTAACTACATGATTGTTGTTCCACTCTTCTGTAATCTGTGGATTTATTGCTCCCAGGTGCTTGGTAGGTTTAGAACCTGCAAGTAAATTTGGCTTAAAATACTTATTTAACTGAGATTTTTGTGGATTTAAAGCATTTCTAATCTTTAATTGTTCACAGACTTGCTGAAATCTGAAGTTGGCCAACTTTGTTTCATTTTTGCCACTAAATCCAGATTAACTGAGGTGCGCCACAATCATGTCAAACCTTATTGTTCAGTCTTAAAACTATTAAATATATTTGAAGTAGTGAAATAATGTCAGCAGTGTTATATGGTGTTTTACGTTTAATCAGGCAAAACATTACTGTATGATCTGAACAAGTCATGATTTCTCTCTGCTCCCTTGATGTTAGAATTTAAATTTTATAATTTGGGTAATAAAGTAAAATCGTTTTACTGCCATCTACTGGTCATATGGCTGAACTGTAATATTCTGAAATCTATTTTTTTCAGTTCAAGAATGCAAATTGACATCAAAACCTGAGGAATCAGACTGCTCCTCTGTGGTGAGATAAAATCACATTTTAATCAATAATATATTTTTATGTTCCAGAGTGGGGACATTTACTTTGATGCAGCAGTAAAAAGAAACTAAATGCACTAAAAGTCTTCTACAAATACAGATGATTTCACCTTGTACACACAAGATGAGCTTCACACAGTTCACTTATTACCCACGTTTATTTCAATTTTCTTAAATAACAAAAAGCACCTGCAATAGATTTTCATAAGATTCATAAGAACAAGGCATCTAGACTTTGTTTTTGTTGCTGAAGATGCTTTGTTTCTCATGAGAGGAGCTTACTCTGGTCCAAAGACAAGTGTTGTTCCAAGCTTTGACATTGCAGTGATGTGCTGCGATGAATGAGAATCAAAACGTCTTAAGTTACAGAAACAAAGTCCGGTTGCCTTGTTTTTTTTTTTTTTAAACTCTTCGGTTTTGCTGTACCCTGGGTGATAATCTAAACGGATTGCACATGGATCACTAGGTGGATCACTGTTGTATTTGTAAAACTGAACTGTCACAGCCAGAAGAGTAAAAAACCTGACAAGTCCAGGCATGTTTCAGCATTACAGTGCCACTTTCACCTACATTTGTTTCTTGCAGCTAAATCAGCTGTGATGAGTAAAATGCACAGCTAAAGTCTGTCCTTTTTAGATTTAAAATGAAACCGGTTGGCTTCATTATAGGATGTGATCTCATGTGATGACGGCATTGAGCTGCATGAGGTGGGCCTACTTAATGTCTGCCACCATCTTCTCAGCTGACAGATGGATTTAGATTATCACCCATGAGACAAGATTAAGACCATCTTAATCCAAGGAAGGACACAATGAGAGAGGGAGAACTGGGTGGAGGAGAAAAAGGGTTGACATTTAAACGTCTATTAAAAGGCAGGAATGACATGACATAACAGTAAATACAGTTTAAATTAAACAAACGTCATGAAAAGATCAAGTGTAACGGTAAAGATGTACTTTTAATGTAATAAGTTATTAAAAGTTTTAGTGGTTGAACTCCTTGTGGCCTTGATGCATAAGAAAAGATGGAGGAGGTTAACGACTGATTTCCTTCCTTTCAGCAGCATGAAGGTCTGTGCGAACTGAAGAGCTCTTCAGGAGGAAGTGAGATGCAGAAAACGGGAAGTCAAGTCTTGGATTCCATCTGCATCAGCGAGGCAGAAAAACAGGCAGTCCTCAGCCTTATCAAAGAGGAGGTACACATCTGTTTGTTTTAGCTGCACCAGGCTGGAGATCACAGATAAAGTTGGATTCACGCTCACAGATGGTTTCTCCTTCCAGATTATCACGAAGGAGGCTGAAGTCAACAACTGGAAGAAAAAGTTTGATCAGGGCAAACAAGAAGTTGACGAGATGAGGTTAGATTACAAGTTGCTGCAAGCTCTGTCTGTTATGAGAGCTTCTCCATGAGGGGGGCGGAGACGTGTGAGGGTTTAACGGAGTAAAGACGCTTCAAATTTTTGTATCTTGAAAGTTGTCATATTTTACATTTTTTATAACTGTTGTCAAATTGCGTAGTAAACATAACTGCAATGATGTGATTTATAATATAAATGAAAAACGGCATGTTTTATGTCCAATTACAGGAAAATTGTTGCGGAATATGAGAAAACTATTGCTCAGATGATTGGTGAGTAAATATCACATTCAAGTGAAACACTCTCTGTTCAGGACAATCAGATTTATGTAATGTTTGTATTTTCATACAAAAAAAGAGCAAAAGACCGACTTAAAAAAAACACAAAAAAAAACAAGGTGCACTTTCTTAATGCGTATTCTTCTTCCATCAGAGGACGAGCAGCGCAACACTGTGAACTTCCAGAAGGTGTTGCACGCAGTGACCGTGGAGAAGGAGGCCGCCCTGGCAGACCTGAACTCCGTGGAGCGGTCTCTCTCAGACGTGTTTCGGCGCTATGAGAACATGAAGAGCACACTTGAGGGCTTCAAGAAAGTAAGCAATGTTAGGACAAGTGCATGGTAATATCTGGGTCAGTGTGAGGTTGAAAGGTGTGACGAGCAGCAGTTGTTCATCACACAGTAGCAGTTTAATGGATCTAACTGCTGTCATTCAGCAAAACCCTTCAGACACAGGTTTATAACAAACTTGACCTCCATGAGCCAGAACTGATTCTGAGTCAGCTGTTGACAGAAGGAAGAGGTAACTGAGGGGTCACAGTGGGCAGTTCAGGTGTGGATCTGGAGAAATGAACTTCAGAAACGTTAAATATTTATTCATTTAACCTTTATTTCTGCAGGTTAGTCTCACTGAGACTTGAGGACTCATTTACAAGAGACCTGTTTTAAACAAAGAACACAAATGAGGTACAGACAACAATCGTATAAAATGAAAAGTAAATAGAATGACGTAAAGAAACAAAACAAAAGCAGCTACATTATAAAGCGATGTAAAATAATAAAGGCAGGAACATGCATAACAGAATGTTTCTAAATGCTGTTAAAAACATAACAAAATGCTGTTTTTAATAAAACAAAAGCCCAGACCAACATCCAAACTGTAAAAACTGCAGTCTTTTCTGCAATGTGATGGCAGCACAGACCTTCGCCCCTCGCAGAATGTGGTACCAGACTGAAGTTCCACCAAAATCAATGTGGAAGTCTGTGAAGCAGCCGTGCACGCTCACGAGGCAGTACTTTGAGATAATGCATGTCTATGATGGCAGTCTCTCTGCCTCTACATGAGATGGCGAGGCCACGTTGTCCACCCAATCAATGAGATCCACAGGCGATTCTCCAGACTGATGACACTGTGGAGCTTTTCTCTCTCAGATGGCGGCGGCTCATAGAAGCGTCGCCACTGAGCCATCCACATTTCAGTTCCCTTCTGGGTGTTCATGTCCACAATGCATCGACTACCAACAAACAACTTGACATCGGGGTCTGGCATTTGTATATCGAACCCATCAACTTTTCTAAAAAGATGGGGTCCCCGAGACATGTTCGTATGTGAAATCTTTACCCTCCATAAGTTTGACCAGATCAGAGCCAAACCTATCACACTGCAACTTCTCATCAAAGTCAAACGTTCGTTTCCCTTCGATTTCATCATCCGAGATTCCATCTTCCTGGTAGCGACAGCATGTACCTGTGCGCAAACGCTTGCAGCACCATGTATGAGGATCCTCCATAATATTTCTTAACTTCTTTCAAATGTTGAAGTCAAAAGAACACATTCTGACTAAAATGTCCGAAGCATCTCAGTGATGTTTTTCTTCATGTTATGTGTTTAAAAGTGATCATAGTTCTGCTTGTTTAATTTGCAATAAAGTTACTCAACGTCAAAACAGGTTTAAAAATAAAAAAAAAGCGGTAAAATGTGACCCGGTTTGATCTATTCACACAGAATGAGGAGGTGCTGAAGAAATGTGCACAGGACTATCTGGCCAGAGTCAAGCAAGAGGAGCAGAGATATCAGACATTAAAACTGCATGCGGAGGAGAAACTAGACAAGTACGACTAAACAGAACGGTCTAACAGATCAAAGTCTTGTATTAGATGTAGAGAAATGTTTATTTCTCCTGACTCTCTGTGTCCGTCAGGGCCAATGAGGAGATCGCTCAGGTGCGAGCCAAGGCGAGCTCGGAGAACACGGCGCTGACTGCCAGCCTGAGGAAGGAGCAGATGAAGAACGAGTCTCTGGAACAAGCTCTGCAGCAGAAGGTAACTCCTCCACCAGGCTGTACACTTGGTCAATGCAACACTTAAAGTTATTCACAAAGTACATAAATTATGGATCTGGTCTGCTGGTCTCAACGCAATTGATAAAATGTTCTCGATGAGAAGACGGGGCCAAGTAGAGCCCTCATGCCCTGAAGGGACACTCGCAGCTGGATACACTATGGATTCCTGGTGGCAGTGGAAGATGGTGTCTGTCTGTATTTTCCGTTGAGGATGTAGAAGATGCATACATAACTGGATTCATGATGACCAGATTTCTGTTTTTTTGGAGTTGCCAGGTATCTGGCATATTGACACATTTGGAAGATGGCAGCAGTGGTTCTGGCAATTGTAAGACTGCCTGGCTTTGTATGAAGGAATGTACCGAGCAGTAAGAACTCTGACGCTGCATGAGCTGAGCCGTATGCTGGACGCGATTTCTGAGAATCACAGGCCACTTGTGGCTCCTGGGACTCACTGGTGGGAAGGAATCGACCTTGGAGATGCTACAAGCTCGGTCCGGTGGTGTGACCACAAAATTTGGTTGTTTGAAATCGCCATTGAGATGTACCAGCATAACTATGAAGGCAGACATGGAAATTCAAGCAGAGGCTGCCTGAGCCAAAGTAATTGCGTGTTATTTGAATTTGGCTTCCCCACTCGGCCTTGATTTGGCCAACTATCTTAAACTTCTCCTGGTTGTTTGTGAACGAGAAACCTGCCCCCCCCCCCCCCCCCCCCACACACACACACACACATTGCTCCCCTCTCGAGGACATCTGTGGATCTGTGTCAGAGTTGAGTCGGCTGATGGACACTGCCATCTTTATCAGGACTATGGAACTTTCTGGCAGTGTCCACAGACAACTCACTGCCCTCATCGGCCTCCTCATGCATAAATGTATTATGACGTCATCAGTATGTTGCTGTTTCATGTGCTGAGACCCCCCCCCCCCCCCCCCCTCCACAGTGTGTCCTATAGGACACAGTGTGAGATTTTATTTTATTTTTTATGCCTCCACTCCCCCTCATGTTTCTTTTTCCATATCTGAAAAAAGGGCCGTGCCTCTCGAGGCCGCAGCCTCGGTCACCTCCGTCTCCCCATGTCTGTTTGTTCTCAGACGGGCTGTACTGAAATGTAATTTTGTTGTGCTTCGGTGCAATGACAATAAAGCGGATTCTGAGTTTGTGTATAAAATACAAATGTGTCTTGTATTGTTCCTACAGAATCAAGAGATTGAGGAGCTTACAAAGATCTGTGATGAGCTGATTGCCAAAATGGGAAAAATAGAGTGAATCTGAAAGAGCCTGGATCGTCTCTTCAGCCACGCGCATGCCTCCAGACAAAAACCGCTCTCGTACTGTACCCTGCTACATCGCTGCTAGAGTAGACATCACAGTAACATCTGTATCCTGCGTGTGACCAGAACCTTACATGGTAATTACATGCGGTCTGTGTTTTGTTTGCATTTTGATCTCCATTTTGTCGGTGAACATCAACACTCCTGCAACTCAAATTAAATTCCCAGCAGCTCTGCTCTGGTTGGGGTTTGTTTTCAACTTACATTTATGCTTATACTTTGGATTACGAAGGAAAAATATTTTATTCCAAGTCACAATCAGTAAAATGTATTTTTGTACAAACTTTACATAGTTTTTATCCCCATAGAGCCGAGCTTATAGAGAAACTCTTCAGATCTGAATGTGCTCACGGTTTGGAGGTAAAACTGCACAAGAAGGGGTGACGAGGATTGCACAGGGGCCCTCGGGGGGCCTCGTTTGTCACTGTTACTGAAGCTGCTGCAAATGGCTTTCAGCATTTGCCTCAGTTGGTTAGCACTACAACACTTTTGGGATTCAGGATGATTGGAAAAAGCTGAACACAATAAAAACAACTCAGCGATAAGTCTGACAATCAGTGAGATCTATGTCACCATACTGTTTGTATTGGTTTATCAAATCCACAAAATCGGCTCCAGTCCCAACTAAACCACGTTAGTAATAATAAACTGGAAAAGCAAAAAGGATGAATAAATCAAGAAGTGACTTTATATTTTGACTGAATGTTGATTGTTATACAGTTTACCAGAGCTGCTTTGTGCAAAAAGTTTGTTTTAATCAACCATCCAATCACTGATTTGTCCACAGATTACATTTTACCTTCTAACTTCAGGAGATTACAGCTTTGTAACAGCATTTGTCTGCTACTGCTCACATTACGATGCACATAGTCACAAGAAAAAAATTGTTTTTGCACATTTAATTTTCTCAACTTTGATTTTAAAAAAAAATTTAAAAAAATTCTCAACACAAAATAAACAAGATGGTTGGCTCAGGGTTGAAATGATTTACTGTTTGTTTACTGGTGAACGCTGCAGAAAATCATAGCTTGTACCAATATGTTAGTTCAGGTTACCAAGTTTCTTTTCACCCAAGAGAAGAAAAAGTTGACATAAATCCCTCCTTCAATCATTTAACTTTGTTTCTGGCGCATTAAATCTTTCAGTTCTTGATTCTGTTGATCCACTAATGTGCCACAAAGTATATCTGTGCCAATCTGATGTCATGTTTCCTGCTACTGTATATATTTTATGTAATGTGTTCTTTGTGTAATAAGTTTGTACTTGTGGGTTAAAAATGACAATCTTGCACTCGTGTGAAAGCAGCTGTACATTTCCCTGAATAAATACAGTTTGTTCCACTACATTTAGCTTCCTTTTGTGTTTTTACGTAATGTAAACTCAGAACCAGCAGGGGCCTTTTCTTTCCTTGTTTTTGTTTGCAGCACTATTCATTCGTTCATGTTTTAAACTGACGGCTGTGTGAAGCTGAGCTGTAACTGTGTCGCCCTGTTAAAACGGAGCCAGTTAAGTCTATTACTGCGGGCTGCTGGCTGTGCAGCATAGATGGAGATTACAGGGATAAGACTTTAATGTCCTCATCCACCTTCTCATGGTTAAACCTCCTCCTTTTCCTCGCTCCCCCTCCATGTCCCATCCATCACACTCTCATCCAGTGTCTCTCTGGACTCTTAAAGACATTGACCCATCAGCGAGCTGCCATGAAGACTGCTTTGGCTCTGCTTGTGTTCATCTCTTTGGCCTTCGACAGTAAGTTTCTAAAATGCATGAAGTCTTTAAAACTCCATGTAGCTGAAGGGTTACTAAGAGGAAAAAGTACTTTGATACAGCAAAATCCAACGTTTTCTCCTCTTGAGTGCAGACTGTAGATGAAGGAATGTATGCATGTGTATTTATATTGTATATAAACCAAAATGTATGCATGTATATTTAGATTGTGTATATAAACCAGAATAGTGTAAAGTATTTTAAATTACTAAAGGTTTTAAACCACACCTAATTTATTTTGTTTCAAAAGAGACAGATTTTCAGGCTTTCTGAAAGTCATTCCAAGATTTTCTTTGGTTTTTAGTCGTTTTTCAACTACCATATTTTTTTGGACTATAAGACACGAAATCCTTTTTTTAATTTTCTCAAAATCAACGGTGAGCTTTATAATCTGGTGCACCTTTATGTATTAATTCTGATTGTGCTTACTGACCTCAGATTTTATGTGGTAATTGTGAATGAGTTGAATAAAGTTTGACTTCTGTTTTCTTTCGCTTAATGCGCCTTATAATCCGGTGCACCTTATGGTTTGATAAATAGGGTAATTTTCCAGTGCATTATCAGACTTATTTTCAAAGGTTTTGTTTTGGCTGCTCAGTGGACCTATAAATCAGAACTCAAGACTCCTGAACTAAAGGGATGAGCCAGCATTTTGTCAGCACATCCCAGACTTTAAACTGGATCTTTATAGTAATTTAACACCATTTAGTTGAAATCCCCAAAAACTATGGGTGGACTTTTTCGTGCGTGTGCGTATTGAGCTGAATGGAGTACTGAGGACTGATAGCGTGCCTGCACTCACCTGTGAATATTCATGCTTAGTTTCAAGCCAGGTGCTCTCTCCTGTTCTGTCTGCGAAGGTCGTGCTCTCAAATGTCACACCTGCGTGGCGTCCAGTGAGGACGACTGCAACAGACAGGGTTCCACCGCCTGTCCCCAGTTTGCTGATGCCTGCTCCACCATCACAGGCCCGAGTGAGTCGACACACACATTTACACAAGGACGTGCAGCACAGGTGGCCTCACTAGAGGTCAGCACAACACTGACAACCAATTCAGGTCACAGTTGAAAGTTTATGGAAGTTAGCATTTTTATTAGCACACTTGCTGTTTCCATTGAGCAGGAGATTTTTAAAGCTATAATGCACAAAGTGTCTCTGTCTGTCCCTTTTTTTTTAACTGAGGATAGTGGTGAGAAACTGTTGGACGTTACTCTAAAGTATAACAATTATGCATGTTAGGAGTCTGTATGTAGGATTAAAAAACAGCCTCTGTGGATGTTGGGCTGGTGGTTTATGGAACCTGCAGACTTTTGTGCATCTACTGTATTCAAAAAAGAGGCTGTTCGTGTTAACAGAGTTAGCATGATATGTTTCAGACACCGTGATGAAGTCATGCACGTACAAGGCCTTCTGTGACAAGGCGCGCAGCAGCAGCTCTGGAGCCAAAATGGAGTGTTGTTTTGGAGACAACTGCAACGGGCCCCACCGGAGCCACAGCCACGGGGATCACCACCGCAACCGCGCAGGGGCCTTGGCCTCCAGCCCGATTGTACTGATCGGAGCCCTGCTGCTGAGGGCGGCCTCCAGTCAGCTCTGAACCCCATACATTTTCCTCCCCCCGCCAGTGATTCACCGCCTCCTCCAGATCTGTTCTGTTCTCTGTCCAAGTTGAAACAAAGGTCTGAGTTGCAGAGAGCTCCTGGTGGTTGAATGGGTTGAAAACAAGAAACGTGGTGGTGCATGAAAGGAGTGTGGCCTGGCCCACAGATGCAGGCTGCATCTCGGCAGCTTTTCCTTTATTATCACTGAAGATGTAAATAGTCTTTTAATAGTGGTATGATGAGATGATGCAAGACCTTGTGTAAGTGAAGACCTCCTACTCGCAGCTCTGGTGTAGCCAGAAGGACTGGGTGTGGTTTTTGGTAGGTGCTGCAGTGCACAGCTTGCTTCACACCATACAACCGCATTACTCCTCTGTGTCATCTCCATGGTGATATTACATTTTGGGCTTTTTTGCTTCTCCGAATAAATCAGTGACACCCCTCATTTCTGTGTGCATTTAAATTCACCTGCAAGATCATCGTACACGCTTACAAAATGTGTGATCGTTAGCAGAAACATGAGGGTCTGGGGAAACTAAGACTTCCTCTTGCAGCAACACGACTTCTGTGCAGTCACTGCAGGATATCAAATCAGCAAGGTAGGTCTTCGTCCTCAGGTCATATGACATGAAACCACTTCCTCTAAGCAAGAGGATATCATTTTTTTAACCAAAAAAGAGAAAAAAAAGCAAAAATCTGTCCTGTATATACAGTTTGTTCATAAGAGCATTTAAAGTTTGAAGCTCAGGACAAATAAATGCTGAACGTGTGAAAACCTACATATCCTGATCTGACAAAGAGTAAAATGTTGAAATGAGACATTTGGACAATTTGTCCTCTGAGATCTTTTTATCTTCTTCCCTCTCAGAAGTTGCATCATGCAGTTACCTTTGAATGTGACAAAAATATGATGCAATCAAGTGTGACTAGCAGATCTGAGGATCTATACATTTAGTAAATACACATCCAGTACATTTCACAGCATACGTCAACTTGGTCGAATAAGAATTTTGCAAACAAAAACTGAAAGTAGCATCAGGTTGTCTCTTCCATAAATTACATGCAAAGTAAAAAAAACTAAAAAAACTTTAGGCTGCAAAGTGACCAACAATCCAGGAAAACTATTGAGAAGAAAACATTGAAGCTATAACAAACGCAGAATTTTTCATTCAAGAGAAACTTGATAAAACCCTAGAAGATTTACTGAACACAGCAACTCGCAAACTCGTCTCCCAAAAGGATCTGGTTCAAACGACTGCAAATGAAGTCGACATAAAATGACATCATATTAATTCTAGTGTTCCTCAAGGTTCAGTTTTGAACCTTGAGGAACACCAAATCTCTGCAAAAAGACAAGCTGCATGGAAGGAAAAAAATCTTTAAAAACCTGCAGCTCCTCCTCTTTGAAGACATTTCAACAGGCCTGCAGCTTTAATAAAAAATAAAAAATTAAAAAAAAAGAAACACCTAAAATATTTAGTTTTATTTCTACAAGAAACTTCTGGTACAGAGCTTGCATCAGCATTTTTTTCCTGTTTGAATGCAAGTGACACCATGTTTTGTGTATTCCTGTTTGTCCAGGTGAACTGAACACTCCCTTCTTTTGCAGCTCTTTAAAAAAAAAACACCTGAGTCAGCAGAGTTTGACCCAGTTCTCAAACTGTCACCTGAGAAACAACATAACACCAGAGACAAACGTGGTTCTCATTCCTGAGGAAAGCCTTCGAGCTAAAAGGCTTAAGAAGCCAAAGTTTAGCATCCATGGGGTGCAGGAACAAAATGAACAAAAAGGGTAAAATGGGCAGAAAGGCCTGTTGAGTTCAGCTTTCTATTCCTCAATAAGGCCACGAGCAGCTGCAGGAGGAGGAGGAGGAGGAGGAGGTGGAGGGTACGGCTCAGGGGACGCATAGATCACATCCGGGGGTTGGTTTATTCTAATACAGAAAGGTCCAACCCGGAAAAAAAAGTCCAGTCTTCCATAATCCGATCACACAAACAAACAGACGGCGGTGTGAGCGTGAGGCGCGCGCGCTGGATGTTGCAGAAGTTTGCGTCTTATTTTCTGCGATGATCGTCGGGCTCGGTTCTGTCCGCGCTTTGGATCGGGGCGCTGCCTGTGGCGCACACTGACTCCACAGAGGGTGAGTTTCTGTCCTCACACACACACACACACACACACACACACATACATACACACACACAGGGACACATGACTTCATATACATGTGTGTGTGTTGCAGTAGGTGTGGCTGTGAGTCACAGCGGGTCATCTGGTGTGTGTCAGGTGTTGGTGAGTCTCATCACATTTCAATTCTTTTATGCTCCTTTAATCCGGTTCTTCCCTGACCATCAGCTTTAAACTAACAGTTTTAATTAACAGTGGTCAGTCAGAACCTCTTAAGTCCAAGTCCCAACAAGTTGTCCCTTTTATCATAAAAGCCACTTTGAGTTTTAGGTTTTAGGTTTTAGGGTGATTAAAGCAACAACTGTGGGTTTTGTTGGATATAGGAGATAGTGTCAAGAGTTATACAGTGAAAATTCTGTTTGTGTCTGTGAGCAACATATGCAACACTTGGATGGACTTTCATCATTAGATGAACATCTCTGACTGATGAACCCTTGGAGCTAAGCTCATTCAAGATGGCTGCCACAGCCAATAACCTTACACAGTCTAAACTGGTTATAATGCAGTCGCTTTGTTAGATACTGAGCCAAACTTTGGAGTGGCAGAAGCTGAGAGTCATGTTTTAAGCACTCCATGTTGTTTAAAACTTTAGCATAACTGCTGAAGTCGACCTTTTTGTCTGTTAGCAAAATAACTTATGGACTACTGAATGGATTTTCATGAAACTTTCATATACCTGTATATACACACACGTACAGGGAGGGGTCTGCAATCTGTGGCTCTTTGGTTCCTCTGCAGCGGCTCTTTGACCAAAACTAACATTTAACAGAATTTTATTGTTTACTATATAAACAATAAAAGACTAATTTTAGCAGTTTTTCCAACATTTCTTCTGCAAATATGTGAATAATGGAACAAGTACAAGGAGTAAAAAAAATACTCCCTTTCACTTTATGCTTTGTTTGTATAGTTAATTATTTTTTTCCACAATTAAAAGGTTACATAGGTTTGCATAGTTCATAGATTTATTAATTAACCAAGAATCTGGTATTTTCATTTGTCTTAATTGTAAAACAAACAAACAAACAAAAAATCAGTAAATGTTAAAAATTATTAGATATTTTTAACTTTATAATGTCAACCCTAGTGGCCTCAAAAGCCCCCTCCAACAAAGCCAGTTGATAACCACAGGTGTAGGATGTTGTTGCGGCTCTGAGCACTTTTAATTTGGTGAACGAAGGCGTAAAAATGGCTCGTTTGGTCGTAAAGGTTGCAGACCCCTGCACATGCACATGCAGGTACATACAACTGATTGACTCTTGGTCCAGTCCAGGTCAAGATGGCTGCCACAGCTCGTTGGCATTAGCCAACACAAACATGGCTATACCTCAATACATTTAACGGATACTGAGCTAAGATTGAGCATAATGTTATTTTCTGTTTGACCAAAACGACTATGACTCATTTCTCAGCATGAGGTGATCTCAGTCTGAACCTCTGGCATGAAAAGTGGCGGGTGATATGCATTCCTTCAGTGATTGCTAGGCCTTTAATTATGATTAGTTTGTGCCTTTCTGACAGGTTGAGCTCAGATCTGTGGATGCTGTGATCTTTGTTCTTGAACACTCAGACTCTGTTGATGTTTGGTGCATACCCTCCTAGTATCTCCTACTGCCTACATGACATTCACTGGTTAGAGTTACCCCAAACTGGTTAAACTAGACCACCATTTCTCTCTGCCATGATTAAACCAGATGGGTTTATGATGTATTATGTGACCTGTGCAGTTCCATCTTCATTTTTCCACCCACCTCCTTCAAGCTTTCTTTAACTTTGACCTATTTCGAAGACAAACCTGCTTGGCTGATGCATCTGAAGCAGAGCCTGGTTTCAAAATGAGGCAGTTTTTCTCAGCCCCTCCTCGGTTTAAAAATAACTCGACATGACTTCCTCTGGAACGGTGAGGAGGCAACCTGCGTTCCTGCCGGTGTCTTCCTCATCTGTCTTCTCTGTTGGGTCACCTGCTGTGAGAATGTTTTGAAGGAGCGCCTGATGGTTAATTACTAGACGTGGCTGTCACTTTATAATTTATGTCACAGATGTGGCTTTGTTATAATTATGACCTTTGTCCTAATTATTTTATGCAAGGAACAATTTTTCTTATTAAAAGCGTCAATTTTTTTTTTTTTTTTTTTTTAGGAAATCTGATTTTGCTCATCCAAATCCCTAAGAGTCCTCTATGATTTGCTTTTGGAGAGACTAAAGAAAGGCCAGTTTCCCTGGCAACCAGAAAGACAAACAGTCCAGCTTCACGATGAACTGATTAAACAATTCATGTAAAATATGTCATGAATGAAACCACATCAACGAATACGAGCAGGATATCTGAGTTTCTGAGCACGTGTTGCAAGTTCAGTCTACAGTTTAGTACGTCATACACACACATGCAACATATTTTTAATAAATCCTCCTCTCCAGAACCCTCTTCTCTTCCTTCCATCCTTCTCTTCCCTCTGTGTCCAGTGGAAATGTGCCTGTGTGCAGATCTCGAGTGCAGTGTGTAATTTTCGGCTGTGGTGGAGGGCCTCAGCTCAGCCTCGGGCTCTCAGGGTTTGCAGCTCAGCCTCAATCACGTCACATGAAAAACTGCTGAGTGCGAGTGGGTCTATGTCTCCCTGTGTGTGTGTGTGTGTGTGTGTTTAAACACCAAGTGAAAGATGATTTACCCTCTAAATCTGCATATCTCTGCCATTCTCATCCAATAATATGTCACTTTTGTTGAGCTCTGCAACAGTTGGTCAGATCAACTTGTCTGTCTGCCTCTCAGTGATATGTGATAGCAGCAGTATGCCATACGTGGACCGGCTGAACCGTGTGTGTGGCTTCCTGGACCTTGAGGAGAGGGAGAGCAGCTGCCGATTCCAGAGGCGATACTTCATCCTCGACACGCTCGGGAATGTCCTGCTGTGGTATATGGACAATCCTCAGGTGCTCCTCCTCTAACGCTGCGTTTAGCACGAACTTCTGCACAAACAACGGGAGGAAATTTAAAACGATCAATAGGAACCTTGGACTCTGAGCTGAATGACGTCTCTCTGTGTTTGTGTTTGTGTGCAGAACCTGCCCAGTGGAGCGAGCTCTGTTGGCAGCCTGAAATTAACGTACATCTCTAAGGTACCTCCGTTGTTGTTGTACTTGATGCTATTTCTTCCACCACGTGTCGCGTGTGTGGCGACATCATGACCTGCTGGCTGCGCACATCTTGTGCTTGTGCTCAGACTTATCTGCAGTTACAGTTAAAAGTTCCGTTCAGCTGAGGCAGACTGTGATGCTTTCCAGATGTCAGTTCACTCCCAAAGATAACAACATCTGGGCTCTGCTGCACTGTCGATGCTGACATCGAAGAGCCACCTCCATTTCTCTTCCTTTTCTTCTTCCCCTCTTCTTTCAGGTGAATGAAGCTACAGCCAAGCAGAAGCCCAAGACAGAGTTCTGCTTCGGTGAGTGTCAGCACTGCTTGTCGTTGTGTTACACAGTCGCATCGTTGTTCTTGCGCACAATCTAAAATGATGTAATGCGGTCGTTGTGGATCTCATGGAGCTCGCCTCTGTGTCTGCAGTCATAAATGCAGTTTCACGACGGTACTTCCTCCAGGCCAACGATGCAACCGACATGAAAGACTGGATAGCTGCTCTCAACAAAGCCAGCAAGATCACAGTAAGGGCTGCTCTCCTGGCTCACATGCACTACAGGGATAGCCAAGTGCCCCAGGGCTTTGTGAGATGAAGGCAGTTGTTTCAGAGCGTGCGGAAGCCAAGCATGTTGCCCACAGACACCCTCTGTTTCGCATGGTGAATGGAGAAATTGTGAATGTGCAAGAAGAAAAGAGGGAGACGTCACTGCGGTGAAGGTGTCACCATTTAGTTTGGCACATTTTGCATGTGATTTGAGTATTCAGCTGGGGGCCTTTTGTGACCGCTGATGATGAGCAGGTGACAGAGGAGCGTTTCTCCCCTCGTCGCTCACCTGCTCGCTCTCGCAGGAAGCAGCGCTGATGCTCATTCTCTCTTTCACTTCCTCATCAGAGAAGGAGAGGAGTGTGTGTGTGTGTGCGCGCGTGTGTGTGTGTGTGTGGGGGGGGAGGTTGGCAGCTTTGTGACGTTGCAGCTTCTTTTTTAAGCTTCAATGAAAGTGTGTGAAGCGCAGTGGACAGGATGCGAATTCTGCACTTGAAATGTCACAATTACTTTGCCCTTTTCATCGGGGGAGTTTTCTGTTTTTGCCGAGTTAGAAATAAAATGCAGTAATTAAAAAAAAAAAAAGCACTTAATTAGCAGAGGTCACGAGATACTTCATGGAAAATAACAGAAAACAGACAAATGACAAGGGAATATGGTTGGATGGATGGATGGATGTTTTTATTAATCCCAGGGGAAAATTTGTTTTCTAATTATACGGGGGGGGGGGCATATGAAAAAATAAAAAAGTAGCAGAATACACAAATTTGAAAAAGACAATATGCGCATGCACAAGGTGGTATGGAGTACTACATTCATGATTAACCTATTTATACATACATGCACGTCTAAGCATACATACACATATACATGTATATACATATGCATATACTTGTGTAAATATACATACATATGCATATCAGAGTCAGAGTTTCTTTATTGTCATTCGCCCCTCATGTGGTACATGTGGTGGAGCGAAATTATGTACACAGGGTCCCAGTTACATCCAACAATAAAATGTATAAGAAAAACAGTAATAACATCTAAGATATGAACTAAGAAAAACATCAACTAAATATACACTAAGCACTCATAACATAAAACATTGAACATCAGCACAAACATGAACATGAGTCTGTGATATACATGCATATATACATGTGCACATACATGTATACATACCTGGTACACATACATAACGGTATTTGTAGTTGTTAACAGACGTCTAAGCTCTAACCTTGACTGAACATGTACCGTAATCTTAAAAAAGCTTAGAAGGCTAAAATCAATCCAGTCATAGTTTACTGTAGGCCAGTGCTGCACAATATATTGAAATTGTATCAAACTTGCAATATCAGTGTGTTTTAAAGGCAGACATTGCAGTAAATACAAACATTTGGGTACAATACAATTTCCTTCCAACTGTACTTGTTTGCAGTACTTTTTCTTTTAGCACTGTTGTTTTGTCATATAAAGTAACATTTCTGTTTGGTCGTATTGAATTTTATTTGACTTCTGGGTGTATGCGTGTTGCTTGCCGTTTGGTTAGTGAAATATTGTAGTGTTGGTCCAGCTCACTTTGCAAAGAAGGGGTTTGGATTCAGCTTATTTTAATGTACGTTGAATATGATGTATACAACACAAAATAATTGCTCATATCTGTATGTTTTTTTGCAAGTATCACTTGCTTTGAGTATCAAGTTTGTTTAATTATGAAATTGAACAAACATATTTAGCCCCTTTTTTCCTTTTTTCAATTAAAGCAAGCAAATGTTCACTAAGCTATATTGCAACACTTAACAGCTTTTCATTTGTTGCAAACATAAGCATTTGCTGCATTAGGTGTTGCTGCATGACAAAGAACTACATAAGCTGTTTTAACTTAGATGGGGTTGATGTTCTGGTGGAAATTCGGCTTCAGTGTCCTCTAAATGTTAACTAACATTGTCCCACCTGTTGCAGGTTCCTAAATCCTCCACCTCTGCACCACCCAGACCGGATGTGTCTGCTGTGATCAGTGATTCTCAGGGAGGGAAGAGACAGCATGCCTACAAGACAGAGATCATTGGCGGTGTAGTGGTGCACACTCCAATCCAGGTGAAAAATAATGATAATAAGTATAAACTCAACATCATGTAGAAATAGAAAATTCAAACCATAATTCCAACATCAGATTTATAATCCAAGCTAAAATAAAACGGAAAACATTTGTGTGTGTGAACTGTAAAATAAATTGTAAAAAAAAAAAAAAAGATCTAAAGAAATGTTAAAGCTGCTGCTAATGGCTCATTATGGTCACCCTGGTAACCACACTCGTGTCTCTCACTCCCTGACAGTCAGAGAGGCAGTCAGAAACAGTCTGAAAATAAGCCTCACACAAACGGTCACTGTGCAAAAACTATGAGTCAGGTTTTAAAAATTCTTAAACCATCAGCAGCAGAAGACTTTGATGGTCACGTATGTGATTTTGTTTGTTTGTTTGTTTCCATGATGTTTTATGTAGAACATATGAGTTAAAAAGCCACTTCACTTCAACATTAGAAGAGACTATTTAGAGGTAAACTTTAAAGTCTATAGAAGCTTGGGTGTGCACTCTGTATTCTGGGGGGGGGGGGGGGGTTGAGATAAAACTATTAGTTTTATACTTTGTAACTGTGTGAAACACAATGGGTGAAGGAAGACAGAAATGCCTACGTTTTGATGTATAATGTGGACATGTTCCATCAAATGATTGCAGGAGTAAGAAGAGTTTGCAAAATATTAGAAAATTATAGACGGCTCAAAAATCCTTATGGCATTATCTTGATATTCTGTAAAAATAAAGCATAAATCCTAAGCTAGGGATGCACAATATTGGATTTTTGGCTAATATCCGATATGCTAAAACTTATTTGGCTGATAGCCGATACCAATATATATTTTTCCTAGACCTACTTACAGAGACTACGTAGCTTTCTCTGCTGTGGAATTAAAATACATTATTCTGCATGGTCTTTGTCAATTTGGCCTGCTACCAAATGCAGATGCCAAAAAGTGGGGCTGAAAATGGTGGATTCAACTTGGATTATGTTTAATGTCAAATTTATTCATGACATTTACTCTCTCTGACACAATGACAACACTCGAACAGTGTCCAATATTAAACTTTTATCCTTAATCTATACCGATACCATGCCAATAATATTGTGCATCCCTTTCCTAAGCTATAATTGTGTATAAAACATCAAATATATCAACATGCCAGTTCAGACATGTAAAGTTTGACTTTCTGTGACCTGTTTACTCTGTGAATGATGTTTCCACTGTAACGTCTGGATGAGTTATCGAGCTCCAAAGAGGGCTAGATTTTTAATGGGTTCTGCCAAAATCCCATAGAGCCTCATAAATGTTTTTCTTGCAGTCTTTTGCTAAATTTGTCTACTTTGTGCAACTTACTACTACCAAACACACTATGCCCTATTGAGCTGCATGATTTTGTGTATACTTGCACATTTTAATTAACCATTACCAACAAAACAATGAGCCTCAGGCACAAAAGCTTCAAATGAGCATAGGGTTGGAATCTGTTCATGGCAGCAAAAAAAAAAAAAAGGAAGTCAAAACACAATGTTTGATTTGGCTTTAGGAACATGTGAAAAGTAGGAAAAGCCATCTGAAGATGGTGGCTGCAGCAACTGTGACTACATCTGTTGAGGTGTTTCTGCTGCAAATGTTTCAGCATGAAAGTGAAGAGACTAACGGAAAGGAGAAGAAGGGAAACAAAGCTGGTGTGCTGAGATGTGGTTACTGTGTAAAACAAGGAAATGTGGTGAGTGCTCGGCCTCAAACAGAATCAATCTGCCTGAATAAAAACACAGGGTGTGTGGAAAGTTAAATACAGTGTGTGTTTGTAGAGGAAGAGCTGGAAACGGAGATTTTTCACCCTGGATGACAACGCAGTCAGTTACTACAAGTCTGAGACGGTGAGGAGACGGGACTTTTTCATTATTTTGTCCATTTCAAGCCGATGCTCTTGAGTGACTGCGGTCTTTGTTTGCTTGTGTCCCAGGACAAGGAGCCTCTCCGAGCTGTTTTACTGAGAGACATTCAGAAGGTCCATGAATGTCTCGTCAAATCAGGGTGAGTCATGCATGAATCAAGAGTTAGATTCCCCCTCCAGTTTTACTTCCTCGTCACGACTAAACAAACATAAAGACAGTATTCAGATAAGAAGCTAATGTGGACAGAACAATCTGTCGGTAAACGGATCGTGGACATCTTGCATGGCTCTTTTGTTCACCGCTGACAGATAAAGCGCCACACATGTTGCGCAGATGTTAGTTTGACCTCCAGCACTGAGGCTTATCGCTGTGCACATCTTCACAATAGAAACTGAAAGTGATAGTTTGTACCTTTTGAAGTGGGGTTCTTTAGAAAGTTTATGAACAGTTAATATCTTACCTGTTGTAGATAGCTGCATGAATGACCTCAGTTCGGATAAATAGTTAATCTCTGACCAGATTAATGAGTTTATGGTAGTTATTTACATAAAATTGTATGTTGTATTTATTTTTATTTTTTTTGGTAAGTGAAAATAGCAGCAGCAGCTAGCTGTAGCACTTTCAGAACAGCCTTGAGAACTTCAGTTAGGAATATAATAACTTCAGCTAAAATAAACATGTAATTGAAAAATGACTGGAAAGGTTTATAAAGCAGCTTTCACATGAACCGCCATGAGAGTTTAGAGACTGCAGTTGTCGTAAGACGACAGCGGTCCACTTTTGGTCTTGGCTCTGCTCAGACTAGCCGTTAGCTCGTGAATCAATTTGTCAGTCCTCTTTTTCTTTACAACAGATTACATTACATTATTGTTCATTAATTAATGGTATCCTTTTCCACAGAACCCCATCTCAAAATATCTCGTCTATTCTTATAAGTTCTGATTTAGTTTTCCTGTTTTATTTAACAAGGTTAAGTCAGGTCATCGGGACAGATTCTTCTACTTTCTTCTATTCTTCTTCTTCTAACCTTGTTAGATTTTTCTACCTGGATTATTGAGCATGCATCAGGACATTTTCCTGTTTTACTTAATCTATTTTTTAAATACACCAAAAACAAACTGTAATTTTCGTCTTCGTAAATATGACTTGTTTGGATTTCAGTCTTTTTCACTTTTCAGCATGACAGTTAAACAACTTTTAAACAATGTATTTTATTGCATGTCTTGCGCATGTCTTGATTTGTGCATGTTGATGTTTTTTTTTTCTGAAAAGAAAATAATCAACTTTAAAACTCATTTTCCACTTTAGATTTTCCTCCTCCTCCTCTCTCTTCTTGTTCTTGTTCTTTTTGTTCTTGTTCTTCTTGTTCTTCTTTCAGCTTTTTCCTCTTCAGAGGTCGCCACAGCGAGTCATCCTCGTCTATCTCATTCCACTTTAGATTTCCTTCAGTTAAAGCTCAGTTAAAGATAATCAAGTACATAGATTCATTTGCTGTACATGGTAAAAATATTTTATGTTTCTGGTAACCTTAAATTCATAGAGATTAGTTAAAAAAAAAAAACCCCGCCTTATCTTTAATGAGAGATAACTCTTCTTCCCGTGCCCTCAGAGACCTCCTGCTTCGAGACAACTTGTTTGAGATCATCACCAGCTCCCGAACTTTCTACATCCAGGTAAAATCTTTGCTTTTATTCTTCAGTCTTAAACTTGTTACTGACGTGAGGCGGAGTGAATGAAGCGAATCCTTCGGCTGCGAAAATAATTTTGTTTTTAAGTTCCAGGTGCGTCTGTGTTGATGTTTTGACATGTTTTCTCTCAATGCTCTGCTGCTGATGTGTGGCCCAGGCTCCGCTTTAAGAGCTCAAACAGGTTGTTTTGGTGCAAAAGATGCAGCCATCCGTTACCATGACAACAACAATATCCTGTTCCTTCCCTTTGAGAGAGAGAGAGAGAGAGAGCAGCTGACAGATGTGGTCAGATCAGATGGGAAGAGCTGGGAGAGAAAGAGAGGCGGCTGCAAGCACAAGTGCTTTAATATTTACCATCAAGGAGAGACAAAAAAAAACAGGAAGTGAGGAAAAACACTGAAATAAACAAAAAACAGATGAAACTGAAAGGATTGTCACAGCTTAAATGTTGATATAAAATTAAACGTTTCAAACGTGCGCTCTCAGGCCATCATTACCTGCAGCGTCCCCTCACTGCGGACTGAGCTCTGTAAAAAGACCTCTTCTTACTCTGTGTTCTCCTGGAAACGAGATCTGAAGCTGTCCACTTTGATTTATTTAAGGGATTTTTAACATTTCATAAGGTCAAAAGAAAAATCAAAGCAAATATGTTCTTGTTTTTAGTATTTTTACCTAGTTTTATATGGCACTTCAATTTTATTGTACATTGTTGTTTACTATAGTTGTTTATTTATTATAGTTGTTTATTATATTAAGTTATATTTGTGCGGCACATTAAAATTAAACTGAAGTGGTTTTAAGTTTGGGGGGAAAAGGGTCTAAAATACCACTGTCTCATTTTATTCATACGCAGTAAAAACTGTTTCTTTTTTACAGACTTAAGTTTATAAAAACAATATTTAATGCAGCTGGAATGACGTTTTCGTTTTGATGAAATAGGTGATTTAATTTTATGGTGACACAATTTAAAGTTTTACTCTTTTCCTCTGTATTGTCTCACTAAATGTTTATTCTTAATTATGGTTTTCCAAAATAAAACTTTTTGCATTTAAAATCATTTAGTGAAAAGCAAATGGAGACACTCAGACGTACAGAACTGCTTATTTTAGATATTAAAATATTATTCAATTAAATGTGTGACAAATATTAGGTTTTATTAAAAAATATATTAATTAAAGGCCTAACATTCATCAATCTGATTCAGTCTTGCTGGATGTAACGCTCGGAGTATATTCTAGAGATTACTTTCAGCTACTACCAGACAAAATTTATCTCAATATCTGTAAAACTGACAGAGGTACGGCCATATGTTTGTGTTCAGGTGGTTTAGCTGTGACGTCCATCTTGAATGGGATTGACTCCAACAGTTATTCAGCTGGAGGTGTTCATCCATTGGTTTCTTCCTGAGAGAATCATTCAAATTCATCCACTAGTTCATGAGATATTTTTCTAACAGACAAACACACACGGACAAGGGCAACAATATCACTTTGCGTTTGGCAGCAAGCATTAATCAGAACTTGTTTTTCTTCTACAATTTTTTTTTTTAACTTGCACAAACCTCTACAGAATGTCATGAAGAATAAAAATGAATGTCCGCTTTTAAAACTTTTAAAGTGCTGGACTTTTACGTTTAAATTTAAGGAATCAGCGCATATTTGTACATTTTGTTTGGACTAATGTTTGAGTTCTGAAGACGCATCTGATTTTATGTTCTTATTTGTAAAATGTGCAACATTTCTTTTTAAAGCAGTGAACTTCCGAAGGGCTGACGTTATTTGTCACAGTTGATTTAGGCCTTTTATTATTTAGGATTTCTTTGTTTTAACAATAAAATTTAGCTGAGCATAAAAGTTTTCTCGTGGTTTTTCCTACAGACGGACTCTCCGGAGGACATGCGAGGATGGATCAGGGACATTGAGATGAAGATCCAGGAGTTCAGAGGACCCCCGAGGGTGACTCAACTCTTCTTCCATGTCTTTTACAGCAGTGGTTCTCAAACTGGGGTCCCCAGACCCCCGGGGGGGTCCGCAAAGAAAAATAATAATACTTTTACAAACAGATGTTTAACAACCTGTTCATACACAAAATGCAGGAAATCACATCTACTTTATTCAAAATTTTCTGGGGGAGGACCCCCAGACCCCACCCACTATTTGCGTTCCAGCATCCATCAGTTTACAAATTCAGCCCCGTTTCTTTGTTTGACTACTGCTGTTATGATTCTGTTCAGTTTTATGTAAAGAGTTTTTTGTAATAATTTGAAGTAGTAACAATACATTTATTATGTTCATTATGTGAATAGGTAACGTTTTAAAGTGTTTTTTGATGTTGTTAATTTTATCAAAACTGTCATTTTTGGAAGTTGAAATTAAAAATTTAGTTAACTAATTGTGTCTTGAATAAAAACTATCCCATGTTTAAAAGTATATAAATGGTATTAACACTATTAAAGAACAGGTCTTAAGTATTTATATTACACATATATTTTCATTGTATTAAAGAGACAAATTGAAGAAAAAATATTTAATAAGCACGAGAGTTATGAGGAGGTCCCTGATACTTTTTCTCCCCTGTAAGGGGGTCCCCTGAACCCAAAAAGTTTGAGAACCCCTGATTTACATAAAAAAAGGACTATTATTCCCTTTTTTGTGGCTTATAGCCATTATTAGTTTAAAAGTGTAAATCTTTGGTTAAGTTTCATAACCCTGCTTTTTTAATCTTTCTAGTTTACAGGATTCAGCCGCGGTTCTTCCCTCCGTCAAACTCACAACACCTCCGGTGCTCCTCGCAGTCACAAGGTGAACGAGCGAAGACCCCAGCTGGCTAAATCCTGCTCTGTGGCTCCAGGTTGGCAGCCCTGGACACCCGTTCCCTCGTGCGAGTCCTCCGTGATGATTGACACGGAGGACGCCGACAGCGCGTTCAGCTCGGTGACCACGCTCCCCTCTCTGTCCTCCTCGTCCACCTCCTCGTCCACGTCGTCCTCGTCCAACTCCCTCTCCGCCCAGACGCCCTGCTCCACCTTGTCTCTGGTGCCTTTGAGTAGCGGGTTGGGGATCCTCACGGCGTCAGCGGATGTGGCCAGCGGGCGGAGGCGGCGCCACTGCTCGCAGCCTCAGCCTCCTACCAGCTGCAGCTTCCCCTTCAGCCTGGACGACGACGGCATCCGCACGTCGGACGTGTAGCTCAGAGACGCCTGTGAAGTGGGCTCAACGTGTTGGATGATAACGAATGTGACTGGTACTGATGATGCTCATGTAGAGACTCGTGGCGCCCCCTGCTGGTGATGCAGCTGCAGTGCAGATGAAGGACGCAGCTGGAGTTCAGTGTTTGTAGGACTGTACAAAAAAGTTAGGATAAAGCAACTTCCTTTGAAAACTTGAAAACTTGTAATTTGTAGAGTTCAAACTGATGGCACATGCTCTCAGCCTTTTGCACTCAGATTGGTTTACCATCAGCAGGATAGACATATTTTCAACCAAGCTAAAGGTATTTTAACCCAATTTTTATCCATCTGTTTGGAACATTTATGTTTTTGTAATTATATTTCACACTTGTTAGTTTCTGTCAGACCACGCAGTGTTTACTCACCCACTGTTTACCGAAACGCACGTTTTTATGAAAAATCACACCTGCACTTACCAGACAAGCATTTTACACCGAACACCTTCAGTTTGTTTGCTCCACGAGGCTTTTTTAATACTTTGCTTAGATATCAATAATCAGCTAACTGAGTTTATTGTAAGGTTTTAGTTTGGTATCAAGATAACTCTCCTGCGGTACATGCAACATGCAAAGCTCAGTCCATGGTGAACTGCTTCAGAAATGTGACTAACACATTGCAGAATAATGTGGGAATGTTTGCCACTACTTTTGGTATATTTCGGCACTTTGCATTTCATATTTGTACTTTTTTTTGTGATTAGGGTTAATGTTTTGTTTGAACTTTGCAGCAGATAACTGCATCAGTGTTGCCAGTAGCAGTAGTTTCCACTTTTCTAAAGCGCACCCTCCGACGTCACTCGTGTGGTTTGTTCCTGTTTCCGTTCTCTGAAGCTGTGCGCACAAGTCTGTCTGCGTGTCGACGTGGTAATTTTTCCTCTCCTGTACATTAAAACGATGCTTTGTATTTGAACTCATCTGTGCCATTTGTGATCAACTCCAAAGTTTGGGGGTTTATCTGTTCACACGTTTCACATCTGACATTTGGTGGCGCACACGTTTTTTATATTTTTTATTTAAGGTACCGTTTGATAAACTGAGACCTTTAAGTGTTTTATCCCTAAAAGCCAAATTCAAAAGTTGCAGGCTAACAGCAGGTTTGCTCTTTGACCCATCACCTTAAACACACGCTCACTAGGAAAACTCAAGCATGAACTCATGTGCCGGTCTACGCACCAGAGGCTGTGCTAAGTGAAGTCTTTCACACATCCGGTGCAAAGTCTTTTGGGTAAAGTGCCAACTGTCTGCTGCAGCCTTCTGTCTTTGAATGCAGCTGCAGGACAGTAACATTTCTCCACTGACCAGTTTAAATCGCGTTCAGAGGTATAAAAAGGCCTCAAGTGCTTGTGAAATGTCAGCTGTGCAGTAATGGGTTCACTTAGTCAGATTCCCTTCAGGTGCTGAGAAACCAAAGCAGAAACAATGACGAGGAAAGTTTGAGTAAAAGAAAAGAGGTGAACTGGACTTATAGGGGTTTAGATTTATGTGGGTTTTTTTTTTGTTTGTTTGATATGCGTCACTTAGTCCACTGAACAACTAAACTGTGGTGCCTCCTGGTCTCTTGAGTTCTTGAGAACGGTGGAAATGTGTCACGGGAAACCTCTGAGGTTTAATTCTTGTCCCTGCGAGCACAGAAATCAAAGGTCATGCAGCACTTCAGTGTGGCGCCTGTGAGTGACAGGCAGCTCGGAGGCAGAGACACACTGCTCGTCTAAATGTTAATGTTCCCACATGGATGAGTCTGCCCAGTCCCTGCCCAGTCCATGTCCAGTCCCTGCCTCGGTCTGAAGCAGTCACACTCTGAAGGTTTGGAAACACTCGTTGCTCCTGATGTTGGGGTACAGGGACATGTTCTGGACTCAGACAAGACGTAGATGGTGCATTTGGTTTATCGTCTGCCACTAAAGGTGAAGGGCGATACTGTTGTTGCACGTGTACGTTTGTCTGCGATGTTGGTAAAAAATCTCATGAACAGTGATCAGATTTTACTGAAACTTTCAGGAAATAATCATCAGCTGTACGTCTGATAAGCTTTAGAAGTCAACCAGATTTAAAATGGCTGCCACAGCTAACTGAGCTTATAAACCAAAAATGGCTTTAACTCAAATTGACCAGATTATACTAAAATTTGGTGTTAGTATTCCCAACATGCACTCTGAGTGTTGACACAAAGTCTGCTCTCTAAACTTTACCATTAACTTTTGAAGTCAACAATGTCTGTTAGCAAAATATCTCAAACAACCGGTCAGATTTAAATGAAACTCTCAAAAATATATAAATGGTTGCACATCTTTAACTTTTGGAGTCAACCAGATTCAAGATGGCTGCCACAGCTAACTGGTCTTAAGAAATGCATAAATGGCTACAACTCAGCCAGCATTACAGACATTGGAAAAAAACTGTGTGGTAGTAGTTGAAACCACTGAGAGTCATCCTCAACACATTACCTGAGGGCAACACATGATCTCACAGCATCGCATAAGATCATGAGTGAGGCTATTTTCCAGGTTTGATCAAATGTCATTTAAACAACATTAGATGATTTTAGATTAATGCTCTGACTTGTATGTGATGTGCATTATTTCAAGTTATGTCAAGTCTTTATTATTAATATTGTCATTTACTTTTGGTTTATTATTTTTACAGCTTTTATTCTTCATCTGCAGACGATGTCCACTAGAGGGCGCTGTGAGGTTCCTCACCTGCATCCAGCCACTCTTTAGCTCTTCAAAACTACAAATTATAAGTTTCTCATTGGCCTCTGAGGTGCAGTAAGACTGGAATGCAGATTTTACATCTTTGTAACCTATAATTAAACATTTTCCCCTCAGATTCTTCAGCTATATTCAGTCTCAGTATTAATTTGTTATATCTTTAGTTTATCAAATTCTTTTCCAATTACAATACGGTGTTGTTACATTCATGTCCTGTGTTAAAACCAACAACTAAATCTGGGAGTCAGAAAACATTAATCACAGAGGTTGGTAAAGCTTTTGTTTTAATTTCAGTAAGATATTTGTGCTTTATATTCATGTGTCACGTGTTACTGCTCAGTCTGATTCAGCCAAAGACAAACGTCAAATTTAATTTTAGTTTTGCATTAAACATTTAAAACTTTAAAATGTTCAAGAAGCTGTTGTTGCTTTAACTTCATTGAAGACAGACTGTTGTAGACTTTTTCCCAGAATTCTTTGTGTTTGCCAACATAAAAGCAAAATGCTATGTCATCCATCCATCCATCCATCCATCCATCCATCCATCCATCCATCCATCCATCCATCCATCCATCCATCCATCCATCCATCCATCCATCCATTATCTTTACCCGCTTCTTTGCTTCTTTTCAGTTCGATGCTGTGCTTTTTCTAGAGAATGTTACCTTTTAGTTTCAACTTCCAGGACTTTTGAAGTTTTACTTATTCTATATTCTATATTAGTTTGTGTGTTTTGAAAGCTTGTAAAAGTAAAAACTGACTCCTGATGGAAGACGTGACATAAATCGGTGATCTGATCTCTACAGAGTGATATCACAGAGGGGCAGAGCTTTTCTAACACGTGCAAAATACAGTTCTGTTAATGTGAAACAGGATTCCCTTCATTTGGACAGGCCTCGTCTGGACTGGTGCCAACACCCCCCCCCCCCCCCCCCACACACACACACACACACACACACACGACCCTCTGCTGTTCCCACATCAGGCCACTTACAAACTGGAAATGTGTGTGTGTATGTGTGTGTGTGGGGGTGGGGGTGGGGGGTGGAATGTGTTTTACCCTGTGTGATGTGATTGTTTGCAGAGAAATGGGCTGACCTTGCCCTATAATGCCCCCCACACACATGTGCACACACACATGCACACACTGGCACTGGCCAAGCTGGAGGTGTGTGAGACAGACCCGCTGAGTGCAGGAGGTCTGGGACCCCTTCACCACTTCCTCCAGACAGAGAACAGAGGATCCAGTGAGTTGAAGCCATGATGGTCCAATAATGAGCCTTCCAGAGACCTCAAGCACCTCAGCTCAGGTACGACTGAAGCTGCAGCTTCTCTTTGACTAAAGCTAAAGGTTTTATTCAAAAACATCGCAACCAGAAAGTAAAATAAATTATTAAAGTTTTAAACGGTCGGGTTGATATTTTGCATGAAACCTACAGTTTGGTTTAAATAAGTGTCTTTTATGCTCCAATTGTTTAATCTTCATGCCAGAACTGAAAAATTATTCAAAAAGAAAAAGTCATTTTGACAGGGTGTTGTTTATGTAAATTTAGAGAAATTTGGTACAAAGTTAATTTATAGTTTATAATTTATAGTTTCACTTCCAGAGATAAATAAAATTAAAGTATTGAGTTCAGGAAATAAATTGAACCTAAAAAAATGATGCATTTACATATTACATGCTTTATAATTAATATTAATTATTTAATATAAAGTAATAATTGTAAATTGATTAAACAAAATATTGAAATTTAAACTAGTTGTAAATAAATATGCGCAGATTAAAAGAAAAGCCATTTAGTTGTTTTAATTCTAATTTTTTTATCATGACAGGGAGAAGTTTGGTTTAGTAAAAAGACATAAAAATCTGTCTTCGTTTATTTAATTCTGTCACTTTTTGCTTCATTAGAGCTGCATGAAGAAATCCTAAAAAAAAAAAAAAAAAATTTTTTTAATTATACTCTAAAAATACTAAAAAATAATTATTCTTATTGCACCAAATTTATTTTTCTTCTTTTAGATAAAATGGAAAAAAAAAATAACTACAAACACTTTAATTTAAAAAGTAATATTTTGACAAACCTGCTTGACATTTTATTTTCGTAAATGTGTTTAAGAAAGTTCTCATTAATGAATATTTAATTATTTGTCATTTACTCTAAATGTATTGCTGTTCCTGAGGAAAGACAAACTAAAAGAGGAAGAAAATATCGTTCTGCTTTATAAACACTGTTCACAATGATGGTTAAATAAAGAACGCTGGCTTATTTAGAGATTTTAAAAAGTTAAAATAAAAAATCTGTAATAATCAGCATCAACCTAAAACTGCCAAAATTCATGATCTTCACTCAGACGATTTCATGCTTTAATTTAAAGCTCTAAATTCTTGTCACATAAAACTAAAAAAATCTAGGAAATTGTCCTTGTCCGTGCGCACGCGCACTCCCGTGCACAAAGGGTAGCCAACAGATCGAGTTCATCTCGAAGCCATCTCGGAAGCAGGTCGGTCAGCAGGAATGTGACTATCTGAGCACGGTAAGTGATGCAGTTCAGTAAGGGCGCACGGGCGAGGCATTCCTGCGCGTAAACGGCACATTTTACGCACAGAATTCCCCTAAATCTCCTGATGTTATTTTATTATTATTATTATTTTAATAAGGTTTAAGTTTCCTGCTGCGCTGCGTTTAAGTGTCAGACTATAAGTCAGGGCATGAATATAAGTCGTGGATTTAGTATCCAAGCTGTTAATGTGTGCAGCGTCACTGATCAGTTTCCTTTCTGCTTCGACCAAATTGCAACGCGACAGTAAACGGGTGTGCGCGCAGCGTTGGCACGTCTGTGGAGATGTGAGACGGGGGGATCCCGCGTGACCTCGCCGTGAACGTTTCAACTCTCAACTCTGGATGCCTCGGAGGATCTGCGGCATAATCCAGTCAAACTGATGCGCGCGCTCGCGCGGCTGCCTCACAGAGTCTGTAACCTACAACCAAGAAATCTACAGATATGAGACCTTCTTGCATGGGGGGCTGGGGGGTCATAACTGGAACGCTAAAGTCCAAATTAGAGTGTTTTATTGTCATCACGCGGAACATGTTGATTTATCTGCTGATAAATCTCCAGATCTTTATTTTCATTCAGTTAATTTTAAGAAAAAACAGAAAATGGGTTCACAACATTTTGTAATTATTGTTGTGTGTGTGTGTGTGTGTGTGTGTGTGTGTGTGGGGGGGGGTGTTATGTGCGAGAATGCGTAAAATGTTTCATACTAAAATAAGACGGAGTGTATCTCTCTATCACTCTCTTGCTGTTTGTGTGCGCCTGCCCGCGCGTGCGTCACGGCCGTGATTTTGACCACGAACAACGGATCACGGCGCAGACCTATGGCAGAGCAGGGTGGGGGGAGCAGGAAGGGGAGGGCAGGAAGTGTGAGGCGAGCCAGACTCCATTTGTGATGAGGGGTCTTGGAGAGGGCTCTCAGATCAGCTGCCTCTCCTCTGCTGCGTCCTCGTGCATAAGAAAGGAGAGAGTGACGCTTTGATCAGAGCTGGAACGCCGGCTGGACACGGGAAGAGGCGGCGCGCGCGCGGACAGCGGAGCGTCCAACAGGACCACAAAAAGAAAAGATGGATGGGCATTGTGTGTTTCTGGGGATCTGATGGTGCAACTTTAGGACGGCTGCGGTTTTGAATCGACTGGAGACAGAAGCAGCTTTCAGCAGCGCGTGGAGGCGAAGGATGAGCGTGCGTTCTGCCGGGAGAGGAGCGCTCTGAGGTAAAAACAAAACCTCCGAGAAACAACACGCGCACTTTCCAGATGATCCCTGATGGAGCATTTACATATCAAACACACTTCTCAGGGTTGTCAAGTCATTTAATTTTCAGGATCCTCATGGTGAAAACATGAGGCTCTAAAGCTCAGCCTTGATTTGGACTTTCAGGAGAAACATCATCAGTGTGTGGCACACTTCTTCTGAACTTAGCCTATTTCTAATTTCGTGTAATCTCATTTAAGATTAAGCTTGATCAGGTTATGTGACCCAAACGTACCGAGGATCGGTGGTTCCGCACGCGGTTTTATCAAAAGGAATCTTGTTGATGAGTTATTTTTACTCTGAAGATGGCGATAAATCTTTAATATTTGGTGTCAAAATGTCTCGTTTTGATAAAACCCACTTATAATAATTATATACATGTGTCACCTGTGCGCGTGTCTTTTAGGACATGGCAAACGGAGGGGACCAGTTCGGCCTTGCAGAGCACCCGGACTCGGAGTGCGCGGACCCCCCAAAAGAGTCCACTAAGGACAGTCCCAGCTTCGCTTCAAAGGCGTCCAGCCAGCAGGTAGCAGCTTCAGTGTGTAAATAATCATTTATTTGGCTTTTCACCACAAACTTCTCCTTCAGAATATAAAGCACCAGATTGTGACGCAAATCACCAGCTGTTAAATCCAACATGCTGTTTGTTCTGCAGGGGATGGAGGACATCAAAGTGGTCCTTCATGACAGGGACCTCTGGAGCAAGTTTGACCAAGTGGGAACTGAAATGATCATCACCAAGGCTGGAAGGTGAAGAGAAAATGTTTTTCATCAAATAATCAGTTGAATGGACGAAATATTATGATGATCAAAATCTCCGCAGTCTGTGCGCGTGCAGGCCTCAAGGCTTTTGTGTGGCCTGCTTTTATATTTTCTTATGTCTTATGTGATTTATTTATTTATTTATTTATTTTTTGTGGGTGGGGGTGATTCTTGTAGGAGGATGTTTCCAAGCTACAAGGTTAAAGTCACAGGACTCAACCCGAAGACCAAGTACATCCTGCTCATGGACATCGTGCCCGGAGATGAGCACCGCTACAAATTCGCTGACAACAAATGGTTTGTATTTCATAAAAATATGAATAATAAACGGCATGACTTCAACTCAACAATCTCCAAGGGATCGATTAAAAAATAATCTGAAGGACTTTATTTTTAATATATGAATTTTAAACCGGAAATAAGTTGATTGGGTCGATCCTCTCCACTGGACCGTGGCGCTGCGCTGCGTAAAGGTCAGGTCCGCGTGCAGGCCGAGGATGGCCCAGTTCCCCGTGTGTCCCCGCGCGTGTCAGCCCGCGGGTTACATCAGAACACGACGGGTTCACGGAGCGGACAGAGTGGATTAAATCCCTCCTCTCTCCCATTAGATCCAACTTGTGCTGAGGGGAAACATCTGAACGGACCACTGGCTCTGCGACGAGCAGCCACGTCAGAAAACAAGAAAACAAACAAATAAATAAATAGAGAGAGACAGAGACGTATAAAAACTGATCACCTATAAGCTGTGATTTTAGATACGTTTTTTTTTTAAAGTTAGCAAATGTTTTTTACATTCAAAATACAGGCCAGTTTGTATTTTAATTTAAGGACATTTAATCCATTGGCTTCTGATAATCTAGATTACTTAAAAATACTCCAGCCTCTTTTATATTATTATTATTATAATAATATTATTATTATTATTATTATTATTATTATTATTATTATTATTATTATTATTATTATTATTATTAGTAGTAGTAGTAGTAGTAGTAGTAGTAGTAGTATGCTGCCCAGACAGGTGAAAATGTCGATTGGCATCTAGGGCCCGAGCCTCTGCGCATGCGCACTGACCAGACGAAGCTGCCGCTTCCAAAGCTCTAAAAGTTGTTTTGTGGAGACTCGGCTCGTTCGTTTAGTTCGTTTCTGACCAAAACAACAGAAGTGGAGTGATTTTAGAAGACCACATTTATAATTTATTTATTTATTATTTACTTGATGATGCTTAAACTCGTGTAAAATCAAAACGAGACATTTGGTGTTAGTTCAAGCCGCAGCCTGCAGAGCTCACAGAGTCTTTGTGATCCTGCTGGCTCGTTCAGGTCCATAACGGGGAAAGCCGAGCCCGCCATGCCCGGCAGGCTCTACGTGCACCCGGACTCTCCTGCAACAGGCGCGCACTGGAGCCGCCAGCTGGTTTCCTTCCAGAAGCTCAAACTCACCAACAACCACCTGGACCCATTCGGACACGTGAGTCTGTTGTTTAAATCTGAATTATTCAACATAATCTGCCTTTTTATGTCTGTTACAAATTTTATGACTATATTATTTTCTCATCTTTTCTCATGCAATGATTAAAAAAATCAAATTAAAACAGTGGGTTTGTTTTACTCGTTTCAGTTGCTCCTTTAAATATTTAATATTTTAAAGTTGTGAAACAGATTTACTTCTTTTTTTTTTTAATTTGGTAGAAAAGTTTTTGTTGTGACTACTTGTACAAACAGAAAGTGACCCAAAAAAAATGTGAAATATAAATATGAGAGGATTTAGAGCAATGAACAAGTAAAAAAGAAAAAGAAATTCAGCTTTGAGTTCAACATTTTTAGGATTGACTTCTCAACCAACTAACTCGGCTAAAAGAAAATATTAAATTTTGTCCGAAAGTGAGTTTAAAACTATGAGATTGTCAACTAGTCGAGGCCAAAGCCTGCTCCTGAGCGAGCGCACAACATGAGAGCTGCTTCATGGCTAACACAACTCTCATCCTCCTCTGAGCTGCAGCACTGTTCATTCATGGAACTATTAAAATATTTATAGCTTTTAATGATTTATCACTTCATTGACCAGATATAGGATCGCCTAAACAAATGTGGCCCAGGAACCACCAGTTGATCCCAGCCAGAAACATTGTTTACAATAAATTGGGTTATTATTTAGAATTCATTTACGTAATAATCTTTGAAGGCTGAACAAACCGAGCACGAGCGTGCTCAGTGGACTTTAAAAAGCAAAAACCTGCTCATCCTGGACAAATGCAGACAAAATCAGCTTTTCAAATTAAAGATAACTTCAGTGACTTGGTTAACTCCTGCGTGTCTCCAGCCGAGACGTCACCAAGTTTATGAGCTCCGTGGATAAACAGACGGGCTTGGATGGATGCGTGCGCACGCACAGACCATCTCGTTAAAAACCTCATGAAGTGTCGTCAGGGCCGTGAGAAACCGTCAGACTGGATCCACCGCTGGTTTAGTTTCACATACGAAAATATTCATATATTCATAAATAAAAATCTGTCGCTCTTTTCGTCCCATTTGATCCAATGTGCCTAAAAGTTCAGTTTTCATCATCAGCAGCAGCTGTTGCATCCAGCTAATAATGTCTGGTTTCTGGTCCACCCCTCTCCTCTGCAGATAATACTCAACTCCATGCACAAATACCAGCCTCGGCTCCACATCGTCAAGGCGGACGAAAACAACGGTTTTGGCTCCAAAAACACAGCTTTCTGCACCCACGTCTTTCCTGAAACGGCCTTTATTGCAGTGACGTCCTATCAAAACCACAAGGTGAGCGTAACGAGGTGCAGTTCAACAGAGGAACTTTGGATGTTTTCTAGTTGTCAGACAGATGTTTAGAGAATGTTTGTCGTTATGAAGTGAACAGATTAGTTCTGATATGCAGCTTCACCACACAAACTTTGTCTTTGTTTTTTGTTTTTTTATGTCTTCTCTCTTTCTGTGTGTGTGTGTGTGTGTGTGTGTGTTTTCATGTTCCTTTGAGTCTAACGACCTGCTTCTTTCCCTTGATCTCGGCCGAGCCCGTCTTCCTGACATCTTCTAAAGAAGGATTGCTCGTTCTTTGAGCCGCTCGGCTCATTGATTTCTCAGACGCCCTGACTTTTATCGCATTTCACTTTCAAAGACATAAAATAAAATAAAACATCAACGGGCAGAAAAGTTGGCTAAAACAAACAAAACCTGAAATTAATGATCATTTTGCAGCTAATTTTAGTTTCAGTTTGAGTGCTGGTAAGCTCAAAGCTGGACCTTTTTTTATTTTAACATCTGAATATTTCACTAAACAAACAAACAAATCAATATGTTGATTAAATATTTAATTAATATTTAATACATTTATTTGTTAAAGCAATGAAGTTACGTCACCGTTTTTAACAGATTACTGAACATGGAACTTTTAGTTCTTAAATTAAAATGTAGCAAAAATTACTGCTTAATATTTATTAGGTGTAACTCTAATCTTTGCATTAAGAATTTTGTACTTATTATTGAATTGTGATGCTATTTATATATATATATATATATATATTATAAATAAACGCCACAGCTTATGTGTTAAAATACTTTCACATATTAGTATTATTAATAAATTAGTATTATTATTATTATGAGTGGGTGCAGAGGTAAGGTGTGGTCGGAATGTCATCAGTTTGAATCCTCTTGAGTGTTGCATCAAAATGCGGATGGGAAAGGTGAAGCACGCTTGCCCCCACCCTCATTTGCTCTGCTCTGGACCCTTGAGCAAGACCCTCACCCCCCCATCTGTTCAGCCTAGCAGCCCTCTGCTCCACACATGTGGGCTGTGGTAGCTCGGTGGACAGTGGTTGTGTCAGGAAAGACACCCGGTGTAAAAACGATTACCAAATCTTTGTCCGAGTCCAGGAGGGAGCAGCTGAAAGAAATAAAAATGAGAGTAGTACTCAGAGAAGTTTATTTAAAGTACTTAAAGTTTATTTATTTAAAGTTTATGCATTAAACGTATTTATTTAAAGTCTGTACCTTTGTTGTGGAGACATATTATATTTTTGTCCACAAAACTTGTGTGAACATATTTTATATTGTTTAAACATGTTTATTAGTTTATTTTTTTATTAAGAACAAATTAATTTACTTTACATAAATGTACCAGAGGTAGTTCTTGGACAGATGCAAGGCACCCTAAAAACAACAACAACAACAACAAAACATTTAAAGTACAGGAATTTTTTTTTCCATCTTCCATGTTTAAACATTATTCGAAGCATATTAAACTGTTAATATTCTGCTGCAGAAAATAAAGTTCTCGAGGTGCACTTTAGCAGAGACTGTCGGCGTTTTCGTCCCTTCAAAGTTTGTTTAGTCCTGAACTTTGGCCCACTCCTCCGCTGTGTGATAAACCTGGTCCTCAGCCAAATGAAATCTCTCAAACGGCGAAACTTTTCCTCCATGACATCACCGAGAAAAGTTTGAAGGCTTTAACTTCAAAGCTGGGAGCTTCGGGCCTCTAAAAGCCTCGGCCTGAAAGCCTTAAAGCCTGTGACTGTTTGGGTAAACAGTTTATTCTGTGTCAGCTGGTGTGAACGCCGCGCTGCTCCGTCAGGAGCATCAGCAGCTGAGGAGTGCTGGCTGCTCGGAGCTTTTAACATCTGCAGGACCTCTGATCGATCTGACACTAATGAGCTAATCAATGAGCACAGCGAGAAAAACGATGCGTCCTTGCGTCTGAGCGTACACGATACTGTGTGTTTGATCCTGCACCACCAGCCTGATCTAAAGGTTTCCTGTACTTCTGTCTTCAGATCACTCAGCTGAAGATAGAAAATAATCCTTTTGCTAAGGGTTTCAGAGGCAGCGACGACAACGAGCTGCATCGCATGGCCAAGCTTCAGGGGTGAGTGGATTTACATATCTGCATGCTTAGGATGTTTTTTTCTGCTCTTTCTCCCTCCTTCAGCTGGAAGCATGGATGCTTGTTACAATGTTATGTGTATGGTCTAAATGCAATGGTTCCCAACCCTGGTCCTTGAGGAACACCATCCTGCATGTTTTAGTTGTTTCCCTGCTCCAACACACCTGATTCAGTGATTTAATTACTTCCTCGTGTTCTGCAGAAGCCTCTTAATTATCCATTAATTAAAGTCAGGTGTGTCGGAGCATAGAAACAACTAAAACATTCAGGATGGTGTTCCTCAAGGACCAGTGTTGGGAACCCCTGGTCTAAAACATGAGGATGAATGTGGCATGAAGCAATGTGAGCTTTTGTCACCTGAAGGTGGACGTCTAAGTGAAACACCGCTCTAATAAGCACTCCACTGCAGGTTTTTTAGACTGTTCCTGCTGAACATTCAGATGGTTCAGAGACTTCACTGAAGGAAGGGAGAAGATAAAAAAACAAGTGAGGAGAATGAAGGACAGAGGGCGACATTAGATGCAGCCTCCCTGTTTGTTTTTTCGTGTTGTTGAGGAGAGGAGGGCAGAGGAGAGTCTATCTGAAGTGACACATGGATAGATGTTTATTTTTAGAGCGCTGAATTATCTCACAACAGCGCTGGCTGTGATTGTGTGTGTGTGTGTGTGTGTGTGTGTGTGTGTGTGTGTGTGTGTGT